CCGCCGCTCCCGCCCAATCCTCGCACACCCCATTCCCTACAACCCCCTCTCAGCGCGCTTTCCGGCCGGCGTACCCCCATTCAGCCCGAAGGCTCCTCGTTCTCCCCGCAGTTGGCCCCTCATGGATCGAACCTGCTCACGCCAACGTCGCAGGGCCAAAGCGGCACCTGGCAGGGCAACCCGAGGACGCCCGCTCGCACCCCCTCGCCGCTTCCCTTCCCCCCCATGCAGTCTTCTGGCCGAAACGGCTCGCGCCCCGGAAACGAGAGTGGTGCGCATGCACGAAGCGGCTCGTACTCTAACGCGCCACCGAACCCGCCGGCCAAGCTCCCACCCAGACCCTCGACGGGCAACACGCCCCATCCGTATGCATCACTGCAGAACGGTCTCTCGCCGATCGCTGAATCTTCCAGTTCTCAGCGCACCGCAGCATCGGGAACACCATCGCCACCGATAGGGCCTCGGGGTGCATTAGGGCGACCTAACACGCCGTCTCATGGCACTCCATCGTTAGATGATCTTAGGCGGAAGCTGGTCAAGTTCACATTGCCGGACGACGCAAAGTCTGTCACCATCAATGCAGCCGATTGTGCCGGCGGTGTGGAAGTGCTTGTCAGAGCACTCAAGAAGTTCAACAAGCTTGGTGCAGAGGGTTCAGAGCGGGTTGAGATTGGGGACGGCGGGTTGAGTGTCGACGGATGGGGTGCCTATCTGCACCGCGGTGCTGATGATACAGGTTCGTCGTGTCGTATTGTCTGCTTGTCATCTTATAGACCTGCTACACTCAGGTTCCCCTTTGACGGAGGCGCAGTTACTTTCTGTATGCCATGCACCCCTGGACGATCCTTCTCGCGAATACGGCCTCACTTTGCGACTGATCGGGAGGACAAGACGTCCCAGGGCACGATCAACGAGCCCCTCAAGCCCAGTCTTTGCTTCGAAAGAAAAAGACATCGATGATGAACTCTTGTCACCAGACAACCCTCTTCTTGGTGCACAGACACCGGCTACGAAGGCCATGAAACGCGCGAGTTCTATAAGCATACTCAGCGGATTGGGCGTCCAAATACCCGACAAAGCCCTTGAATCGTCTACGTCCTCTCCAACCCAGAGCCCCACAAAAACACCGGCAAGTGTCAAGCGTCCGTCGAAATTGCGCAACTTTTTTGGACAGCGGCCACCAAGCGAGCTCATTACCACGCACTTGGCCGAATACTTCCCGTTTACAGAGAAGAAAGTGTTGGAGCGTACGAGACGGCAGAGCATGATGCGAGCTGGTACTGCAGGCGCACCTGGCAAACGCGACAGTGTAGCCTCCTGGAATCCACCATCGAGCTCTCGATTTAGTGTTAGCACAATTAGTTCACAGCGAGGCTTGTCACCAAGTATATCGGCCAGCTCCACGTCTGCTGCCTTCCCTGAAAGGCCTCTCTCACCTCCTCCCCCTTTGCCGTTGGCTGCTACAACAGAAGCACCTCGATTATCGTTGTCTACAGATGACGGACGCTCGTTTGAATTGTCGGGTTCGGGCCAAGAGGACGACGAAGCATACAGGCGATTATCTAGCCCACATATACTCCCCCCTGTTGCCTTCCCTTCGGAGTCCCTCTCCGAATCGTTGAACCTTGATTCCACGCAGCTTGGATCGCGTCCTAAATCAAGGACGATGTCTGTCTCGTCGAGGCGGATGAGTTTCATGACGGAGCTTCGCAGCAAGCGCGACCGTTCCGATACCGCTAGTCTCTTGACCGTCGATGAGATTACCGCAGAGGTAGAGAGTCGACAGGAGAGCAGCGAGTTGAAGCTAGATTCTGACGGATCAGATGAGTGGACCAAGGTAGATCTTGGTGATGACGCTGAAAAGCAAAGTATCAAGGAGGAGCTAGAAGAAGAGGAAGAAGAAGAGGAAGAGGAAGACACTGAGGAAGAGGAGGTCGGGGACGACGATGAAACACTGAATGAGGATGAGCCTGGCAAGGCAATCACGTCGGCAGGACGTACGTTACCTGTCTCTACTCATAATATTGACTTGTTCCAACTTATTGCCACGCAGGCGAGAGAACTATCAAGTGGATAAAGGGCGCTCTGATCGGTGCCGGATCGTTTGGGAAGGTGTATCTGGGAATGGACGCCTCGACGGGTCTTCTCATGGCGGTGAAACAAGTGGAGTTGCCAACAGCTTCGGCCCCGAACGAGGAACGCAAGAAGAGCATGCTGAGCGCTCTCGAGCGCGAAATCGAGCTCTTGCAGGAGTTGCAGCATGAGAACATTGTGCAGTATCTATGTAAGCCCGAGACAATTTCAACGATGGGGCCATCTTGCTGACAGTTCACGATCCACCAGCCTCTTGCATGGACGACGATCATCTCAACATCTTTCTCGAGTACGTTCCTGGAGGTTCCGTCACGACAGTCTTGCGGAACTACGGCGCATTTGAAGAGCCCCTGGTGCGGAACTGGGTGCGGCAGATCCTCCTGGGTCTCAACTACTTGCACGAGCGCGATATCATCCATCGCGACATCAAGGGCGCCAATATCTTGGTAGACAACAAAGGTGGTATCAAGATTTCGGATTTCGGCATCTCCAAGAAAGTTGAAGACAGTGAGCGTGTTTGTTCATGATTCCAATCAGCCGATGCTGACATGCCCTATTTTCCAGACCTGCTCCCGGGCCACCGTGCTCACCGACCCTCCCTTCAAGGTTCCGTCTTCTGGATGGCACCCGAAGTTGTCAAGCAGACAGCATACACGCAGAAAGCCGACATTTGGAGTGTTGGTTGTCTCGTTGTTGAGATGCTGACGGGTGAGCATCCTTGGGCGCAGTTGACCCAGATGCAAGCTATCTTCAAGGTATAATTTCCATCATTCCATCATATTCACGCGGGTGATTAATTGCCTCAATTCCCAGATTGGCTCCTCGGCAAAGCCGACCATCCCAGCTGATATCTCATCCGAAGCCGAGAGTTTCCTTCAGCTCACGTTTGAGCTGAATCATGAAGCCCGTCCTTCGGCGGCTGAGCTTCTCAAGCACCCATGGATTGTCAACCAACCGTTACCTCTTGGCCACTAGGCTTATCTGCCTCCATTTTCTTATATTCGTCTAGCACAGTCTATCTAGATCTCCCATCGCAATGCTTTCCCTTGGGACCATGCTTTGCTCAATTATTGTTGTTGTGCAACACATCAAATCAGTCGTTACATTATGATATGCCTGTCCGATATGATTATTCCTCGTCGCCTTCTCTTTTCCTCTTTCCAGAACCAGCCTTCTTGCCTGGACCCCAGTGCGGGGTGGGATTGGTTTGATAACGGACGAGTTTTACTTTTGATGAAGGGGTTACGGACTTGGGATGTCTTGTGAAATCAGCCTCCACTCTGCATCGGAGATATTAATATATATATCAATGCGATCCGAGCTTGAAACGTACTTGGGCTCCTTGCTCAACAAGCAGTGGGTTGGTGATGTCTCGGAGACCTTATCCATTTTGACCGGATGTGTCTTGACCCACGACCGGAATACATCGTGTACGTCAGCACGCGCTGCTGTTGTCTTCAGGGATCCAGCGCACGCATGAGATCTTGAAACCTGGTGCCCGGCGTGAAGCAATGCCGACCTGAAATGTTCGTAAATGTTGAGCACTCCTCACCCAGAGGTTGATATAACGTACGCTACTTCATCCAGAGAAGGACACGTGCAGTGGAAACTACTCGCCACCTTGGCGGGAGTGAAGTAAAATGGTGTGTCCAGTTCCTGTGTCAAATAAGATAGAGCTTCTTATCAGAGAGAAGCTGAGGCTTACTTCTTTGGCAACAGTTAGCATGCCCTTCATTCGGGTGGACGTCCCATATTTGTCCTCGTTTGTTTCCAGGTGTTCCAACACCTTCGTAACGAAAGCAGGATCATGTATTGGACCAGACCACATGGGCCCAGATAGCTGGTCAGGCATTAGTCTTCTTAAATGATCTAGACTTAGCAATAATAATTACATGCAGAGGGAAGTTGCATTCGGGGCATTTGCTTGGAACTGTCGGACCGGTATGAGCTTTGAAGTGATAGTTGACGGTACCGCTGGCTTCGTGAATCTTCTCCGTCATACGCCCCAGAGGCTGACTGTAGAATGACTGACAACCACTGCAGACATAGAACATAGATGTCTTGCTGTCAAACAGTCACAACCTGACTATCTCTTCAATTCTGCGAATTTCAGACGAACCTGACAGCTTTCTTCACCTCATTCGCTGACGAGTAGACGCGCACAAACAAGCGCACGTAGAAGTCGATAGATAGAGAGAGTAAGGGCTGGACATACCGCCCATATCGAGCCGCGGATGTCGAGATGGTATTTAGCACAAGCCGAAGAGCCTGCACGCAGTCAGCAATATGATTTCCTGCCGTATAAATAGAATGACATACCGCTTCATGACAGTACTCCGCCTTGACAGGAACTCCGCCATAATTCGAGAAGCTATAGTGTAGAAAATCAATGAGTGGAGTTGGTGATCTGAACCTGTGGCATACCATTTTTCTGGGTAGTTTACAGTGGCCAAGACTGAAAGGTCAGTACATGTTACACACAGTAATCCTGACGTATGACATTATCAGCTTTGATTTTAGACACGCATGGAGACCCCTACCTCCATCGTGAACGCATTGGACGGCAGCGTCGATAAAAGGCGCCGCTGTTCCATACGGATCTAGATCTACGACGTCGACACGATCTTTCTCCGCTCGATGATTATACATTAACGCGCTGGAGTAATGTCAGTTTCAAAATCTTCCATACAGCGATAACCCACCATGCATCGCCCTCGTTGACCTTCACTTTGGGCTGCCGTGGTCTGCTGCCTTCAGCTATTTGGCTATCAGACGAGGGCCCTTTTGTGAGCGCCTCTGAGCCAGCAAGTCCATTTATGTCGACATTCCTCTGCATGGCTTCAACAGCAGATGGCGAATTGTCGTTCGCAATGACATACCTGCACGACTATATTAGATGCGGGCGCTATCACAAAGGAAGTTATGCGCACTTTGCAAGAGGAATTTCTTTTGCGTAACGGATAGAACGAAGTCCTGTCGCTGAAAGGGCTTCCAGGATCACGCTTTTATATGGTCGATACTAGGTAAACCCTCAAGGCCTCAGTGTGGGAGACGGCGTGATGGGGTTGTGCAAATACCTCTTTCTGCTTTGGTGCACTAGGTCCAGCAGCGTCTCTTGAGGGCTCCTCTGCTGTGAGGACAACATTATCCGCTGCTTTCTCGGAGAGTGCACCTTCCGCTGCTGATTCTGTGGCAGTAGACTCGTCCCCTGCTACGAACGAGCTGAGCAAGTTCATAATTGAAGGAACCTCCACTTCCCAAAGACTCACTCTTTATCCGCTTATTTTTTGGGCCATCCCCGGTCTGCGTCTTCTTCGCCCGTCTCTCCTGGCCCGCTCTCCACTTCGTCTCCTTCTCCTCGTTGATCAGCTCGCTCCATGTACGAATGCACGCGACGCTCAGATCGCGGTTGAACTCCTGCACGGGGTTAAGAAACGCCTGATTCCCCGGGGGCAAGAGAATACGAGACGTATTTTCCGTGTGGAGGGTGTACCCCTCGGGGATCGTGATAGATGGTTCTGCAGAATCCGTAGCCATAGTCCCAAGAAAGCAATGCCGGCGTTGAGTGAAAAATTGGCGGCACAGAGGCCCACGAAGACAACGTAGTGACAGCAGCGTGAACTCGAAATCCCAGCACCGATCCCCCAGATAGATTTCTATGATTTGAGTGGGGCCGGACGCGTCCTGGCGCGTTCGAGTCACGTTCTGCCCCAGCCTACGCGGTCGTTCTCGACTAATTCCGAGTCGCTTATACTTGCGCCTCCGCGCTCCGGCTATGTACTTACTTAGTATCTGCAGTACAGCACGTTCATATCCATGGCTTGCACGTCTCCATTGTCTAGAAGGGCAACGAGGGATCGCGGACGAACATACGTAATAACGATACAGTTGATTCTAAGTATCCGCGTCACGGAATGAAAATGTTTACTTTAGGAATCATGATCATTAAACGTTCCACCTAGAGAGACCATACTAGGCGTGTCATGGTGAGAAAACAGCACTCCACGAATGCAACCCAGTATGGCTATGAGTATATCAATACTCAAAGTGTTCTGAAATGAGAGTGATTGACCCCCTCATGTCGCCTCTTCTGATTCGGTCCGGATCGATCTGAGCTGCGACGGTCTTGCGCATCATTGCGTTCAGCGACAAGGGACCACAACCTACGAATTGCAAGGCGTCATTGTCCATATCCAAAACGGTATTGACGAGACGACTTACATCCGACAACAATAGCGCCCTGCGCCTGGCGCACTTCTTCCGCAAGGATACGATCCAACTTGGGTCTTCCAGGGCGTGCGTGTTCAGAGACAATGCCCACGTCCTGCAGTTCTTGTGCGTCCGGTTTGATTCTGAGCTGTTCCCCACGCCAGCCGAATTCCACCGCCGACGGCAATGCTGCCTCGTTACACATATTGGACCACGCGGTTAGGTACGAGGCTGTCGAGAGCGGTCGAACTCTGCTTGTCGGTGCAGAAGAGCCACGTTCTCGAGGCTTCCCTTTGTTTTGCGCTTTCATGTTCGGGAAAAGAGAATCGGTATTGAAGAGGGTCCTGGAAGAAGATGCGGAGATGGGTGAAGCGGGATGTTGTGGCGAGAATGCTGTCTGCGAAGATGAACTGGTGGGGGTGGGCGATGTAGATACCACTTTCTCAGAGGCGCGAGACGCAGGAGATGTGGTATCACCTTGATGTCTCTCTCCGAATCTCCACAGAGACGACATTTTTGAATCGACCAGACGCACGGTAGTCCCGCCTGGAGGAATTGTTTCCCCTTTATCCGGCTCCTCTTCGGTCAGTTGCTGTCCGCTAGCTAGTATTTGCGACTCGGCTCGGCGCTGTCTGCCCTCCTTTCTCACCGAAATACTAAACTGTGTTTCACCAGGAATGACTTGATCGTTGTCCCCCTCGAAATTGGTGAGGTCAAGTACATGCTCCTCGTGTCCCAGCTCGCCCCCCTCAACAACTTCACCCGTGTAATAGCTCAGGTCGACGACGCTACCAGCATCAATTTCCGCAGGCGACATATCCTCTGTACACGAATCATTGTCTTGTAGATCGGATTGACAGCGATCGAGGTGAGAGGTGGGAGGTGCAGGTCCACCACCCATTTCCAATTTTCTGAGTGCCTCAGATCGGGCGTTGCTTTTGGCGAGAGGTGTGGCGAGAGGTGTCTTGAAGTTCGTGACGAAGACGTCGATCTGCAGTTCAGGTGCACCCACTAACTCCATACATCGACGCAAGAAGGTCGCGCACCATTGAATGTGACCTTAGCCCTCGTCGTCAGTAAGATCACCCGTAAATTGTTGAATAAAAAATAAGCCGCTGCTCACTGTATTCCCGGACCAGCCACACAAACCGTATCCGTCTCGTTTGAAAGCCTGGATCGTCCCGGCTTCCTCTCCTCCCGCCTAGGAAATAACCATCCCGCCCAGACATACACATACACACATACTGCAGCACCGACAAACCAAAGCTGACACCCGAACCACCAGCAACGATCAACACTGTTGAATACGAACACCAGCGTGCCCGGACTGCTGAGCCAAACGGTCCGTCCACATATGCGCGCATTAACACTCCACCGGTGTGGGCCCGGTAACCGGTTGGAAGGGACTCTCCAGGAGCACATGAGAGTCCCTGTGCCATACATTGAGCGGTGAGGTCCCATAGGCGCTTCGTCCAGCCGTTCTTCGCGCGCACAAGAAATACAAGCTCGCGACCCTCGTCAGATACAGTCTGGTCGCAAATTGTAGCAGTTGTGAACGGGTGTGTCGTGACTTGTGAGATGGCAGGGATCCGCAACAGAAAGTGCTGCCCTGGTGCCCAGGGGATATATCCGGGCGTGATAAGTCGGAGGCGAATCGTGCGACCCGAAAGAAGTTCCGCGTGCGCGAATCCGGGGGGAGGGACATACTCCCCCAATATAAAACCGGCTCGATGCGGAAAGCCTACATTCATGTTGATAGAAAGTGCCGGGCTCGATGATATGTCACCGTTTGGAGACCGCGACATAGGTTTAAAGGGGCTTATGTCATTCATCTTCCATAAATCCGACTGAGGATTGTCTTGCACCGGAGCATTATGCACTTTGCCTGGGACGGTTGGCGAGAGCATTCTGCCAAGGTAGCCATTGGCTTGGAACCACCACATCAATCGCCAAAGACGCTCTCCCGCCCAAAGCGCAAGACTTGCCCAGCACCACCACCATACTTGTGAGTGATGCAGAGCAGCAAATACCAGAGTGAGGGGTACCAAAAGGATATGCGACGCATAAAATATCTCGTAATGTAGATTGCGCACAGAACGGAAGGACATGACGACGAGTAGCGTTAGGGCAATGAAGGCCTAACGCGGATCGATGAGTTTAACTAGTAATTTTTGGATAAATGATACTTACAACCCATCCATATACGAAGTCTCTATAGCCCCACGCGTAAATATACACTGTCTTCCCAGTGCTGCTTCTACGCTCGACCGCTAGCTGTACGCTCCAAAGAACGACATGCAGCGCAGTGAAAAACCAGATGAGACGGCCGATCCATTTGTGTGCCCAGGACAGTTTGTCGAAATATAACCGGACAAGAAATGGCACCGCGAGTACGGCGAATGGGGGAGACTTGAGGGCCAAGAGCACGCAGAGCGGGAAAAGGGCGAAAGCAATTAGCCCGGTCCTGTTTCCAGAAGTCCACCACGCCTTGTTAATAGTGTAGTTGGGTATATATTGTGTAAGTGGGGATGCATCGGGAGAGCGTGTGGAGGTTAAAAAAGGGCTACTCGAGACAATATAGTCTGGGCCAGCAAATGTCAACAGGAGGATTAAAAGTACAAAAACGAAAAGGGACAATATCTGGGCATTAGACGGCAGAGAGTGGGGTTGTTTGTGCGGATCACCCTTGCTCTGCGCAAGCCGGAGGGTGTGCTTCTTCCTCCATGTTCTTCGGCGTATGGCCCATTTATACCAATACGCGCCGAGGAACCCGCTGCCAAGGCCAGTGAGGCGTAACAAGGAAAGTAGGACGAGCACCAGCGCGATGGCGAACCACAAGACGTAAACGTATACATAACTGGCATCAGGTAGAGCGTGAATGTCGAGGTATGCAGTTATCCATTGCTGGTCATCTGAGTAGTTTGGGGTGGTTGGATAGGCTGTCAAGGATAGTGTGGAGGTTACCTTCTGCGAGGCCATGCGGGAGACGATACCGTCACAAGTACACTACAAATACGAAGCCCAAAGAAAGGCTCCAGGGGGATCAGACAGGATCGGGTGTTTCGACTCTCCTCCAACCCGGACCGTCTTTAAAAGGGACCAGTGATATCGTGTATGAGACCGGGGTCCAGGATATCGCTGAGGCAGACCCAAACCAGCTGGGCGAGAGCTAGTAATGGGAGCGAAAGGAAGTGGCTAGAGCGATGGCGGCGTTGAAAGAGACATGGGCCAGGGGCGTCGAGACCGTGACGGTGAAGGCTTTGGTACATGGCTGCCGCTTCGCGAATATTGTGAACCGGTTACCGATCCCAACTTCACTCTCACAGAGCCGCTATTAATGTCCTCGAGCGCCGGCCGCCGTCGAGACGGCCGAGATATATATCGGGCTAAATTCGCCATCCCTCATGGAAAACTCGTGTATATTTCTCCACATCGGTCGTATACGTACTCACCATCAACATCATTCTCTGGCCTTGTCGGCATCGCTATGATTGTCTCGAAACAAGTAGTGTTATAATCGAATTCAAAGTAACCGTCCCTCCAATAGCACACAACGCACGGATTATCACACGCCCTCATTCCACAGTCGTTCCTGACCGCACCTGCATCACAACCGCATGAGCATACACTCCATTCACGGACCCGAACACATACCTCTTTGCCTGTCTTCTTAATCTTCTCCAGCAATGCGTCGTAGGCAATCGTGCCCTTCACGACCACCTCTTGCTTCTCTAAGCTGACATCGTAGGAGGTGACCCCTGGAAGGGAAGCTCGATTCGCCTCGGCATCGCCTACACTCAGTGTCACTCACCATCGGCCTCTGCCTTCTTGAGCGCCCGCTCGACGGCACCCGAGCATCCACCGCAGGTCATCTATTAGTAGTTGCGTTAGCCTAGCCCCGACATTCACATCGTTCGCGCCGAGCGCGGGAGACACACCTTAACGTCAAATTTGTAGGTGTGTTCAGTGGCCTACACTAGATATTTTAGCAATCAATCTCCTGTACTTCGCCGAGCGGACGTACCATGCTGATTTAAGTGCGGAATAAGGGAGAGATGCTTGGTGCGATGATGATTTATGGGCTGGAGTGAGAGATTGAACGCGCTTTTTATAGTGTGAGCTCATTCGTCCAATAAATCGCGCATTCCCATGAGTAAGCTGCCACCATCCGTTTGTAAATGGCGCCGCTCATCGCCGTCCAGTGCCCGATTCCTCGGATATCGAACCAGTGTTCTACAGCGTCACGGTCTACTACTAGTAAGCACCCACTACAGTCTGCTTACACAGTACCCGGGTCCAACTGTGCTGGGCTGGCTTGGAAGGCAAGACTAAGTATTGTAATTTCTTTCATACTCGCAAGGAACAGAATCGCCGATGCGCTGACTAAGAGAAAAAGTCTATAGTAGATCACTCATTCACCCGACATTAAGAGCTCTATCGTACAGGATATAGTCACATTGCTGCGTCCTCCGGTCCATGAAGGTACGGAGCATTCCCGGTATGTCGTTTGTACTCATGCCCAGTCGTCTCAATTCTCATGAATGCATGTCAAATCACGACCGAGATGTCCGCGAAGGCTGGATCATTTCGACGTGGTCATCCCCCTCTGTCGCCACGGCTTCCCACCCTGTACCAAGCTCTGGCCGGCCACGGATTCGTGCAAAACAGTCTGTGAAGATCGCTAAAAGTGGAATCAGTCACCAGGATCATTGCCCACCATTGTCATGATTGACAGATAGAAGACAACTCACAGAGTACGCGGGAAGACGTGGCTCCTCGCGTCTGTGTTAAATAATATATTGGTATCCCCACCGATACAAATCCTGCAAACACATCATATTTCGCTCAAGAAGTTCACAGAAACAGATCACTAACCAAGTACAGCGATGGCTTCTAATGGTGCAGCAAGGATGGGCATGCACAACAGGAATATACAAACCTAAAGACACTTCAATATGATGTCCGAACAAACTAATAAGTCGGAATATACCGCGCAAAATATTAGTGGCGTAGTGATCCAAGTCTTGTATGGACTGTGCACAGCCGTCAGTACCAAAATCGAATATCAAGCACATTTGGCTAACCGTTCTAGCATTGGCTCCTTGACCCGCAATATCACCAAGCCTAGTACCTGTTGCCAACGTGATTGTCATGAACATCGACAACGACCACAGTGAGAGATGATTGCTCACAGTGAGAAAATAGAATGCCCACGAGGCGACGACAGCGAAATTTATCAGCGAGCGGAACCCTCCACCGATCACGATGAAGGCAATAGTAAGTAATGCCTGCAGACACATGGCATTAAGCGGTGTTTTGAGTTTCTTATTCATCTGTCCAAAAAACGCCGGAAGATATCCCTCACGGCCGGCGACGAAAATAAGGCGCGCAGTTGTAAATGATGAACCTGAACAGTACCAGTGAAACAGCGAATACGTGAGTTTCTACAACGCTTTAATCATACATCGGGAGAGAACACAGACCATTTAATGCGCCAAAGCAGGATATTGCAACCATTAATGCGAAGATAATCCCACCGACTGGTCCAAAGAGAGCGCGGCCAAAGTCAAGGGCGACAGTGTTGCTCCGCCCGACTGTTGCCTAAAACCAGGTTCATCAAAATGATATAATGATCATGCATAAGTTTATACATACCTTGTCCAAAACAACAAAATAGGCCAAGTTAGCTAGTAAAAATAGAACCTAAAACAAATCAAGGCCTCGGAAAATAAAATATCGACCAAAGGACGGACCGTGACAAGAGACATGCTGAAGTGGATTGCTCTAGGGATGTTCTTCTCGGCATTTTTCATCTCCCCTCCGACGTAATTGGCTTGATCCCATCCGTCGAAGGCCCACAAGCCAGAATACAGCGCTAGTGCATATTGCGATGGGCTCGTACTGGAGCCAGAAAATAGTGGTCCAGTGAAAGAGACCGACGAATGGCCTCTAGCGAGTTGAATGATACCAAGTATCGTTATAGACAACTTCACATAAGACGACATCAACATCGTTATAACAATACTGCTAAAATCCTGAGACGCACCAGGGCAACAATCTGGACAAAATAGGTGAGGGTTATGTCAGAGTGCGAGACGCAAGAACAACCTTACTTTGACCGTGGTGAACACCACAGCGGCCCGTGGACCCAGCGTCGGTGTAGCAACACAGATTATGGATACCACAAGGACTGCCGCAATCGCAGTGAGTTTGACAGCCCACTGTGGAATATCATCCGGCGATACCTCAGCGCGCGTACTGTGCCAGAAGAGCCTGTTCATGTACTCGGCAAAAATCAAGCTTATGACGGCATTCCCTCCTGTGTCTGATATGAGTATTCGGACCAAGGCTGATGTGCATCCAGACGAACCTGGCTTCAGCGCCGATATAGCTGTCCAGGCGAATAGATACGATACGAGCGGGCCGTATGAATACTGAAGGTACGCCTGCGCACCTCCGTTCACGGGTATTGACGCCCCCAACTCTGCAAAACTACTTGCGCCCGTCCACGCCAAAAGTCCTGCTGCAAGCCATACCACAAGGCTCGCGCCCACGCTCTGCGTATTCGCGACCACCACACCGGGTGATGAGCTTGCCGTGCACCGTTAGCATATCACTTAAGTAATGCCCGATGTTGCACTTACAATATACCAGACCCAATTTGCAGCCCCATAATGAGTGCAACGCCTGGTAGTCTGTTCGTGACCCGAAGAGACTGGTAAGGTAGACACCACGCACCATGAAGCAAACTGATGCTCTTTGTGTGCGACTCGCCATGTACAGTGTCGGGCTCGCTCAGACTCGCCGTGAGCGGAAGGAGGTCGCGCTGAAAATCAAATCCGGAAATGGAGTATGCCCGTGCGCGTGAGGAGATGGGTGCGTCGGCGAGGAGAGGTCCATCGGAAAGCTCCAAGTCCCGCAAAGAGTCAGCATCATCGGATTCGTGAGATGTACGAGGAGCATGGGACAGGGTGTATAGTGCAGTGGGCGAGCGCGGACTGACGGGTGACTTGAGAGCATCGAAGAACGCCGCCCTGGGCGAGGATGTTGTCATAGGATTTCCCGTCACGAAGAGGGCCCGTCGACGACCGCGCGAGATTTTTTGTAGGGAGTTGGTGCAGAGTTTACCCCGCACTATTTGAACAATTGCAACAGCCCGAGTAAGGAGGAACAGCAATAGAGCCTGAGCCGGCGACAATAGCCAGGCAAGGACTCTAATTGGGACAGATCCTCGACCACGTGGTGGGCGCGAAGACCGCGTCTGACCCACACGTCGCGCAACTTGAAATTGTGGTCATCATTAACAAGTGCACTGATATATCCATTCTATAACGTATACTAATTTTCACAGAACGAGCAGCACTATACATAGCGGAAGATAACGATTCATTGACTTGATCATGGATTCAAGAACAGTCCTGCTTCCTTCCAGTATGCGATCCACCTCTTCACATCGTCAGTATGCAACTGGTGCGAACTGGCATTCTGCAGTGTTGGAGATGCGGCTACAGCTTGCGCGTAGGATATTGAATTGAATCCCATTGCTTCATCACGAGGCATTTCAAGGGCTACCCTCTCGAAGAATGGTAGCAGTCGCAGGGCACGCAACTTGTGAGCGGTTTCCCTTTCGACTATAACCTCTCCTTCCAAGATGTCATTATTGAGGGTGTCCGCAACGCGTTTGAGCTTTTCCAGCCATTCGGGATATGTGACCAGAGCGATTCCGAGTTCGGATGCGACCGTGATTGCTATAAAATGCCAAGTGACTGGGTATGGATGCACGATGTGCGCAATTCTCGTCTCGGTAGGAGCATTGCGGAGGTCAACTAGAGCACCGGCTGCTAGCCCTGGCGATATCCAACTCACGGCCTACAGATCATAGGTCAGCCAGAGCGCCGCAGTTCAGATGTAACTACGTACCCCGTTGCACACGGGGAATTGGCCCAATACTGTGGCAGTTTGAACCATGGCAGGGAACCATTCGACCAGATTCCAGGCGCCGTTTCCACCTCCACAAATTTGGCCTAGGCGGGCAACGACTATCTTTAATGGCGTTTGGATCGCAGCGTTACACAGCAGCTCTTCTGACACCCATTTTGATTCAGAGTACCCTGTACCAACTGCAACCTCTGCAGGAACGCGAGTTTCATATTCAGTCTGGATGTTCGCACAGTCTGACTCAACGTCAGCAGCGTACGATCAGCGAGATGCTCTTCACCTACTCTGAAAAATGCCGATACTGCTAGCAAATGTCAGATGCGGTGGGTTCCTTTGCGGAGATGTTAAGGCAAAGTCCACGAGACGCCGCAAGCCGGTAATACTAGGCTCAAACGAGGACAAAGGTATATTGAAATTTACAGGCCAGGCTGCAGGAATATCAGAACGTGAGTGTGAGCAATCGTGCAACGCAAATATCACGCACCGTTGTGTATGATGTGAGTAAGCGACTGATGTATCTGTATAGTATCGCTCAAGATTAGAGATCTGAATCCATGCGCACTTTGGCATTACCTCTTCATAAACGTTCTCGGCTAGGCCGAAATTTGGCAGCGAGAGGTCTCCCTCGAGGAGGACGACCCTGTCATTTACTAGCGCCGCTGTGTCCAATGCACGTTCAATGAGCGCACCCTTCTGTCTTTCTAGCAATGTCTTATTCTTGGAGGCTCGATTAAGAGCATAGACTCGGGAGACATTCGCATCACTCGCCAGTCGAACTAGAATGTGGCATCCCAGGCCGCCTGTGGTGCCCGTGACGAGTATGATGTTGCCATGGTTTGACCGAGGTACTGCGTTATCTGTCCGATGGGTAGGGAAATCTGCGCTGTAGTCAGCGACCATCTTGCGCATTATACTTGTGCGTTCTTCTCCCGAACTGTCTAAATCATCGTTCGCACCAGATACCAATCTGGATACGTGCAAAACAAGAGAGGATACGGAAGGATGATCGTACACGAAGTTTCCGGAGAACTTCCGCGTGTCAAATTGAACTGAATCGCGCAAGGCGCGTAATATAGAGTTGCGTATCCAAGTAGCTTGAAGACTGATGCGCTGTTAGCGAAGAGACCTTGAGGTTGTAGCTGTAGATTACCTATCACACCCGCAATAGAAGAGATCGTCGTCATCTCTGATTGGATACCGGAGTATCTTGTCCACCACAGTCCGTACAAAATCCGCAGTGGTCCTAGCATCCCATCGGGACGGAATGGGGATGTTAGCTTGAGTGCTCTCCTCCACTTTATCATATAATATGTCGATTTCCTCCTCGTAATCACTAATGACGGCATGCCGGCGGACAGTATTTTTGGCAGTATACGTGAACGGCTTGGAGGACTTTGAGACCAATATCATCTAGCCATAAGGTCGTCAACGCGAGTTTCTTGAGATAGCAAAGGGATAATACTACCTCTTTAAACAATCTTGAATGCTGCGGTGCATATGCGTTGACTTTCTCAACCGTAGGCCTGTTCGAGATCCTATAATATCGCAAGCGTTATATTATAAATCACATACCATATCATATTTCTGAACGCCGCTAATTTTGGCTCATCTGTGGCGTCAAAGTTGAATTCTGGCACTGGGTCAACTAGAACACCGGCTTGGAACCTCCCATTGCCAAACACGACGGAGGCCAGGATGTGTATATCCTGATTTAGGATGTTTTCTTTGTTAAGCATTAGCAACAAAATCCGCAATCTTTGAATGCAAGCGACAAACCAAGAGGCCCAGGATTCGTCTATGCCGAGATCGTCAAGATTCATTCACGACGAGAGGTCTGTCTTCACTCACCTTTTCACCTGTGTTATGGATAAGTTGATCATCACTGCGTCCGAATACCTTCCAATAACCTGGCTTCGTTGGATGGGGGATCACGAGATCTGATGTTGCATATGCATCAATCCCGTTAATTTTCGTATTCAGCTTGGCTGGCACACGGAAATGGTTGGCCTGTGTTAAATTAAAACATGCCATACGGCGAGACAAGCCAATAACATACCACCACAACGAGTTCATAGATGTTTTCGCCATGGGGCGCAAAATACACGTTGATCTGCTGAGGGATACGAAAGTACTCCCAGTCATATCCGACTTGTCCTGAGCACAAACGCGAGCTCATCATTTTCATTCGCTGCATATTTTCAGATGTACATACTTGGTAGAAAGAGACTTAGGGCTCCGGTTTCAGTTCTAGAAACGGGATTTCAGCACAATACAGGGACAAATGGATGCATCTTACAATCCGTACTGGTTGACAAGTGCAATCCCTTGAGAAACTAAATAGTCTCCGACCTCCTTGTTGATGGGGCCACCTCCACTTAGCTTGTATAATTCATTTGATAATTTTGCACTGTACTCAGATAAATCAACTTACTAGCCCCATACGAGTGGCAAGCCAGCCCACGTATTCAGCTTTATGTGACCACGCCTTTACTAGGTCGTCAGTGTAGATCTATAGCACCAAACTTTGGGATGCATCTGCACCTCAAGAAATGACGGAACGCAGAATATCACATCGCTGTTCGTTGCCATTGCTTCGGTAAAAACCAGATCAGGGGATGGCACTGGAGCAGGGGTCTGAGGCTTGAAAACACTCAATACCAGCCCACAAGAAGCCTGCTTCAAAGTCATCATACTGAAACACACGAATAGTACGAAGCATACCGTCCACAGCAACTGTAAAACCCCGATTGTATGATACATCGGGATTGAATGTACAGCGAAGACCTTGTCTACAAGGCATTGTTCACTGAAATGCGGGTGTAGGGCGAACTGCAACGCGCAACGATTTGTCCAGGGGATGGGCTTCGGAAAAGCGGTCGAACCTTGAATTCATCCGTTAGCTCGGTAGTAGTCTCGAAGATGGCTTCCAAGACCTGATGAATGCAAGTAAAGAATTAGAGCATCGGGGCCCCTCCAACTGTATGGTTCATCGACCGTCGTATCATCGCCAGGAGCGTCTGCTTGTGGAAGGAACAACCCCTCGAACGAAAGCATAGGTGATGTCATAGGGATCGCTGCGTTCGGATATTGAGACTGAAATATGTCCAAGGCATGTTTCGATAACTCAAGCATGGAGTTTTCATGTCCTACTAGAATATGGCTGGCACCCACTGCATGCATCAAATGTGCCACAGCAGCGGGCGAATTTCTAGGAGAGATGGGGAATACAACGTAGTTCGCCTGAATAAGACCCATTATTGAGATGAAGTATGGGATGAAGTCTGTCCATGACATGTCAATATGCATCAGATCAAACATCGACAGGAGATTTACCTGATGTGGCCAATATACCTACTATTGGGGATCCTTCTGACCCCTCCATCCTAAAGCGGCTTCGCATGATTCTAGCTGCAACCTTGATCGCCTTCACGGTCTCTAACCAACATATACTCTCAATACCGCCATTCTTCAAATATACAAATACGCGATGCTTCGGGTTATGTGCCGCATGCCAATCAAATATCTCGGGTAATGTCAAGGATCCATCCAGAGGTGGCCGCAGGAAAGTGGTTTTGCAGAGTGCTTCAGTCTGAGGAAGGGGACGCAGTGGACGTCGCGAAATCATGACCCACGTCAGTAATGGGAACCAAGAATCATTGGGCTATACGTACAGTTCTTATAGTCGCTCCAAACCGATCTCATGTCTGTATCTACCTATCGGAAACTGACTCTTCTCAGACTGGTGGTCTGACGAAGCAACACTTTCTTGATATCAGGCGATAACAGGACCCGAGGAATGAATGTGTGACTAAATACTGAGCATAGAGCCGAGAATACCGTAACATCGAGTAACGTTCCTACAGGACGTCACCCACAAACGTTCGATGCTGTATTTAGGATCGATGTGCTGGTGGCTGGATCTGCTAATGAGACATTAATACTAATGAAGCGAAGTCGATGCTTAATACAACTCACTGAACCGAATATGATGTATGTCTGTCATAATGCAAACCATGGCATACTGATGACTTCATAGAATCGAGCAAACAAAGAATGAAGATATCTTCTCGCTTTGGTCGACATATCTTACGTGTCCAAAGTGCAACACAACTCGATCATTTGATGCGACTCTAGCACGAGACAATTGCATACGTGTAGCTCTGTGCAGGTACTCTGGCCCTGTCTACAATCATTCGATGCGATTCTAGCACGAGACAGCTGCATATGTGCAGCTCTGTGCAGGTACCCTGGTCCTGTCTGCATGCGGATATAGTGACCAATGGCAGATGTAGAGCCTGAAGTTTATCCATAGGATATCAGGACTGAAAGATCGACTTAAGCATTCCGCTTGAAGAAGTCATTAGACTGAGAAGTCCCGGAGAACGCGCCGTATGATCAAGTTTGGGACGTTCGCGCATTGTCCAGCAAAGCTTGAGCAATTACAGAGTGAACATCTACATATCGCTCCTGGCACGTCTCCATGCACTTGAACATGTTAATGTAAATATTATGCACACAGAGATATTCAACTCAAAGCTTACTTGAAGTGCTTGTCCGGGCGTCATATGGCCAGATTGCCAGACATGGGTGATAGTTCCCAGAGCAGGTATACCCGACATAATCAGGCTTCCTGCAGCCGCTCGAGCTTCCTCTTCTGTCGGATCCAACCATATCTCGCCACATATGACAGACTATGCCAAGAGTAAATATCGCAATCCTGGATCTAACTTGATCACTCACAGCAGTACATGATATAACCAATCCAAGCATCTCGATACCTGCATCTGCCAGAGCAGCACTTGCAGATAATGACCCTGAGGCGATACAACCTTCAATCCCGTCGTTCTCAATGACGGTGATAAAAATGTCAATAGTTGACTTTGGCAGCAGTTCGAGGCGAACAGAGGGTAGAATCGCCTGGTGAATTTGCATGGCGATGGACCTATCTTCTGCATCCTGTGTACAGCATATAGCATCCCCCCACATTCCAAAACGTCATAATATAGGGCGACTCACGCGTATCGGCGCTCGCCTCCGAGTGCATGAGAACGGAGCGAATTTGACCTCAACATTCAGCCGCCCATTCTCATTGTACACTGTAGTTTTTGATTGCCGAGGGCCATACCTGAGAAAGTAGCTCAGTATATATGATATTATATTACAGTAAAATGAAAAACGAACACTGCGCAAGCAATCTTGGTTCTTTCGGTCTCGATGTATGCGGATCCATTTGCTTGACTTATGAGGCCTGTCTGTAAAACTTTTGGATTCCATGGGAATGTAAACGGGATAAGTTCAGACACAAGAACCGGCAGTTACGCACATATGGGTCTAATGTCTCCTGATGCTCGTCCTTGACGCGGTTTTCCGGCACTCCAGAGCACCGTACTATCACCATCCTCGAAAATTGGAGGGACACTATCATCTGGGCCATTTATGCGACGACGATCGTAATTTTGAGCCATATTTTAGTGGTCCAGAAGACACCTTTTTGGCGAGAGGACAGTTTGAATATAACGAGCCCGACGTACAAGTACAATGTAGACTTCAAGTTGATATAAATGCTCACAAAGGCGCCTAGTGCGCCGGCAACCTAAGCTAGATCGAGATTGGAGAACGCTCATCACGTGCCACAATGCGTTATTGTCGCATCAAATTAGGCAACGTACCAGCCCTCTTGCCATGAAGGTCTCCTTCTCACTTGCGAAAGCCAAGGCCACTAAACCGGTTGGCGAAACACCTTCTCTTAAACGGTCCGCAGCATTTGCGTCTTTGGATGACGATGAGCCTATCGATGCTGCGCCTACCTCCTTCGGCGACAACAAGGTCACCGCGAACAAGCAACTCGTTGCCCAGAATGTGGAGATGTCCAAGACCGCAAAACAGAAGATGGAGGCTGAGATGAAAGTGGATTCTACTGTTTTTGAGTATGATGAGGTCTGGGACAAGATGCAGGAGGCTAAACACAGACAAAAAGAGGCCAAGGAGGCAGACTCTAAAGAGCGCAAGGTGAGCATGAGTTTCCGTTTGTGTCCGTCTTCTTTCAACGAGCACTGATATACAAAAGACATTATCAGCCAAAATACATTAGTGGGCTTCTGTCTTCTGCGGCCACACGTCGATTGGATCATCTACGCGCCGAGCAGAAGATGATTCAGCGGGAGCGTGAGGCTGAGGGGGATGAGTTCAAAGACAAGGATGCGTTTGTCACGCAAGCTTACAAGGATCAAATTGCTGAAATGCGCAAAGCAGAGGAGGAAGAGAAGCTCCGTGAAGGTAGTTTGCATTTATTATTCGACAGCTCATTAATAACTGAAACTCTGAAGAGCTTGAGAGGAAGAAGAAGGGAGGAACCGGGATGGCGCACTTCTATCGAAAGCTATTGGAAGAATCAGAACAGCAGCACGAACAGACTGTTGCGGCGACTTCGACACAATCGAAACCCGTTATCGGACCTCAAGGTCCAGTGCCTAATCTGACCATCACTAAACCTCCGGATTTTGTACCCAAGTCCGACGTAGAATTAGCACGTCTTGCCAATGAACAAGGCAAAGATGTCGAGCTGAACGACGATAATCAAATCGTCGACAAGCGAGAACTACTTTCAGCTGGACTAAATTTATCAGCACCGAACACGAGACGGCTAGGGTTGCAGGCATCAAAGGCTCAGGATGCTCAAGAGGAAATCATTGTGCACCGAGCAGTTGGGACCGCAGCGAGTAGAAGAGAGATTAGCGAAAGACGTCAGCGTGAAGTGGCGCAGCAGCTGGAGGAGGAGCGCGAGCGAATTCGGGAGGAAAAGGAACGCGCGGAGCAGGATAGTATTAACCGAGTGGTTGCGAAGCGCAATACTGAAGAATCGGTCCAGAGTGCGCGAGAGCGGTATATGGAGAGAAAGAGGCGCAGACTGGATGAAATCGCGTCTGGGGACGGCCAAGTTCCAGGCTGATACACAAGATTTGTTTTTCGGCGATTGAGTAGCGGAGCTGTACGATAGTAATCTATTACATTACATTGTATACTACATCCAAAACGAAGGTGTTATGTCTATTGGCAAGAGCCATAAGAATCCAACCTATCCTTCCTGATCGTACAAACCATGGCGTCGAATGATGCTAGTGCTTCCTTTGCAGTGGGACGCTGCTCATATGCATCGCGCAGCATCGGTGACACAACTGATGATAGCTCGGGAAAGTCATTGCCCGTCATCTGCTTGAACGGTGAAGATTCATTATGTATGTTGAGAAATCTAGAACCCACTTTCGCTGCTCGAAGGATGAGCATTCCAGATGCCCATATATCAATCTTATACGGATCACTCCACCCGCCTTCTTCGACCTCTGGAGGAAGCTCAGCTGCACGGGGGGCTCGGATCCGTGGAGTGCCTATGCCGCTGAAGCGACGACTTGTTTCGAAGTCGATGCAGGCATAACGCGACTCGTCATCTGTCAATATGTTATGCAATGAGATATCCAGGTGGGCGATGTTGTAGTTATGCATGAAGGTGATGTGCTGATAGCAACCAGTAAATTGCGCTTGCATTTTGGGAACATAGAGCCACGCACCTCAAGATGTTGGCGCATTGTCCCGAGAAAGTCACGCAGTGTACATGATGAATCTGATACTAGATAAGGCGACCACTCTTCCATTATTACGAGCACAAGGCTATCTTGAGGTATCTCGATGAAATCCAAAATCGCTATGGAGGATGTGAGATTTGATACGTAAGATTTGATACGGGGGAATATTTAACTACGTACGGATGCAATGATTCATGGGGTGTTTGCATAGGGGTGGGGAAGACAGATACCGCAATGTTTCATATTCCCGGCTGCATAAGTGGATAGCCTTGACGACAATATTCAGACCATCAGCGCAGCGAGTTCCACGAAACAAGTTTTCCGGCTGCAGAGTTGAGCTTTTCATTGGATAAAGAGGCTAGCACACAAATGCACCAACCAAGCCAACATCCTTACACAAATCATCATCACTACGTCCTTCGCATGCTCGAAGGTACCCTGGCCAATCTTGCGACACGTTGCATCCTCGCGATGTTACCCTCTCCCAGTATTGCTGATAGTACTGTTTAACGTCTCGACAAGTGTCAAGCCGAAAGCCTCGATATTGAATGAGACGTCGATAGCTGCACCAGTTGGGACACACGCGAATATTAACTTCGTCGTCGTCAAACGAGAGAGAAGAGACGGAGATACTAGATTCCGAATCAGACTCGTCATCGGAGAAGCTTTGCATGACCTGTGAGTGGGATGGGAGGTGGATTAGGTCTGGCGACGTGATATAAGAAGACTTTTCAATCTCTGTGGCCAATATGATGAGCCGAGTATCATTGATAAGGTACAGGGATGCCAGAGGGATAGAATGGAGCCGCGGAGGCAAAACCCACACGCATCACAGGAATGTCCTGCAATATCCGAGTGATGGCATAGGCAAGGCGTAGCTCCCGCTGCGTGACCCGCGCGTCAGCAAAGCTTGAGACTGCAAGAACCCAAGAAAGACCATCGGCGCCAGCCGAAATGACAGACCAGAAGAATTTGCCCGATTAGGAGACCTGTTCCCGGCCTGCAAAGCCAGATGAACGTCGATGGTTCTCATGCGACGGAGGTACGCAATATGAACGTGGCGGTCCGGTGCATGTCAGTTCTCGAAAAGGCTGATTATTCGCACCAGCTCCCAAGTGGATGGCTTGACAAATGCGATGATCGCACTCCGCACGAGCTCAAAACGAGGCACGACGACAGCTATATGTAGTAGCGAGTCCGCGGTAATCCATCAGTATCAGGATGTAAGGCCCTGCGCAACCGGACAGATACGAAGTTTCACTGAGAGCGTCGAGAGCGCCTACGGTGCGCCTGTGGCACGTTCGAGGCGGCCGTGAGAAAGCTTGTCCACTCCTCGACTGTCATGTCACATTCCAACAACGCGTAATGGAGGACGGAACAAAAACCAAACGAACCATTTTTGTTGGCGGGATCGGGGACGACGTAGACGAAACCTCTCTCCTGGAGAATTTTTCAACTTTCGGTGCGTCAGTTGGGTTTGAACACCCTTTGCGAAGCTTAAGCTAGAATTTAGGCGATGTAATTGAGGTGCAAATCCCTCTTGCTGCGTCAAATCCCTCTCAACCAACCGGTGAGCTCCACCAAACATTGTGCAAGCAGTACTAACCAAGGCTCACAGAAACCAAACACCGTGGATTTGGATTTGTGACCTTCGCTTCCCCCGCGGACGCCCAGGATGCAATCGACAACATGGACTTGAATGAACTAAACGGCCGGGTCCTGAAGGTCAACATCGCCCGTCAAGTCAAGGCGCCTGTACAGGGTGCCGGAAACAGGGCTAGTGAGTACATTACTCGACCATAATTATGCAAAATTCTCACTCGCTGCAATAGTTTGGGAATCAGAGGAGTGGCTCCAGCACTATGCTAAACCACTTAGTAAGAGCGGAGGTAAGTAGTCCTGTATAGAACGTGACCTTGAGAGCTCAGGCGTTTTCCAACAGGAGCCGCGCTTCGTGCCAAGGTCAGGGAAGGTTCAAAGGGCGCCGACGACTCTGGCGACCAGAATGAAGGCGACGACGATACCGCAATGGAAGAATAAGGCGGTATCTTGTCCGGATCTTTCACGTGGTAAATCCATCGTCTGGAATATGTTGCTTCAGCGGGAGCCCGGAGGATGAATGTTCTCAGTGCGGATGAGTGTATTGAGGCCGATTCGGAGAACGTGCGAAAAGAAGGTTGGATTTCCTAAACTCCCTCGAGTGTTGTTTTTCAACTTGAATTATGATCCAGACTTGGTATCGTGTGACCGCCTGCAGCGTGAGGAATTAGTGACTGAGATGAATTCCCAACACCCCGGTTCTCGGGCAGTAACTGATGTCCATTACCACTCGATATGACACCAGGTGGCAGGTGCGTCAGTATGGTGTTCGCAGAGCCTTTCATGAGAGAATTGGCAACACTTCAGTGCTACCGGTTTGACAAGCGGGAATGTCGCCATCCTCCAATGGATAATGACACATACACATTTACGTCCGACTTGGCTGTGAATTTTACTACACATTTCACACTCGCCCTTGCGATTGCTTGGCTTCCGCTGAGGACAAGTAAAAGCAAAGTGAAGGCAAGCAATTTCGAGACCGCTATCTAATCAACGCCGGAACAACGCCACATGCGTTCACAAGACAGTGATCATCTCGCTTCTCTGGTCGTCGATAACCCTTGGGCAGCAGAATACAGAGACATTTGCCCGTAGTAAGTAGGAGTGAAATGTCTCGATGAGGATGTTTGTCATATGATATGCCACGCAGATATCGGGCATGTATACGCTCAACGGGTTTTGAGCTTCATTTCTATCTATTTTTACAAGATATGAAAAGTCAAGAGCTCGAGATCGTCCTTCGTAAGAAAATTGGTCAGTGAATTTGAAGTTTTGAAGCCCGAGTGAGGCGTTCCGGGAGAGGAATCCAACTATTCCATGTTAATTTCGAATTTCGAATTGCGATGCTCCCACCATAGACGATAGTGCCCGTCGAAAGTCACTCAGCTGTATAGCCGCACAATTTCTCGTAGAATACATATTACAGACTCAGACAGGCTGCGGCTATCAGCAGCTGATTGAATTGAGCGAGAGAGCCAGAGTCTGTAGAGCCCGTTCAAACGATATCATCTTTGCGGTGCCTAATCTCACGATGGGAACGAATTTCCTGGTGCCATGTCGGACTCCTCAAATTGCGCGCGCGCTCGCTTGATATCTTCCTGCATGAAGAGCAGTTCCTCCATTCTCGCAAGCTTTTTCGCATCCGCAGGTCTCGACAACACTCGACGGATGTCTTCTATGGACAGACGTGTCTTTCCCTTGCCTGGCGTAAGCGCAGTCTGGCACTGATTGAGCATAAGCACGTTAGATGACTCGAAGGTAGAGCTGTTTACATGACATACCACATCTACGATGTACTCTACTAGAATTTCCTCCATGACATTCACAGTATCATGCGCGGGGTTGCGATCGTCGCCAAAGCCATACATCAAATTCCTCACTTGACATAGTGACACAGGTCATGAATCATGAAGAAATTCTAGAAGGAAACGAACGTACACTCCTTGGTGAATAAACCTTTGAATGTCGGCTGCTTCCGGGCGCTCCTCCCAGGTGCAGCGGCACCAGCAGCCCCAGGCGCATATGTTTGAGTAAATGTATATGTTGTCGGAGCAGGTGTGGGCCTGGCAGGGACAGGAGCAACAGGCGTCGTTACTATGGGCGTTGTTGATACGGAGGCACCGGCTACAGCAGACTTGACAGCGCCTGCAGCAGCCTGCGGTGCCTGCTGGTGTTGCGGAGGAGGGGGATAGTAACTGTATGGATATGGCCAGGTTGCACCGTACCCAGTCACAGTAGTCGAGTATGGTGATTGGTATGGAGTAGTAGGATATGCGGCTGTCTGTGGATAGCTAGGATAAGAACTGTACGGGTACGATGCCCCGGTCTGTGGTGGATAGTAGGACATATCAAACGCCGTGTTCAAAAATTGTAAGCTTCAAGGAAGAAAAGTAGAACACTAGACTAAGCTTTGACCGACTTCAAGTTCGACGATGCCGGGGCTCAGAGTCAGAGCCTTAGAGAGGCGCGCGCCACAGCACTTACAAGTTGTATTACAAGTTACGAGCACAAAGGATCATGTGATTTTCATGGGTCCTATCGAGAAACAAAATTGAAAAGGTCCGTAGCTAGTACTTACTGATGACCGTTATCGGACCAGTTTGTCCTCGCAGAGGCTCAGTGCCAGAGTTGGGGTATTCCATATTTCATGTGAATCATATGTCAGGTTCAGTCGCATGCACTCGATGATGAAGACAGCTCTGAATGAGTCACTGAAATACACGATATTGCACTCCAATAGACTTAACCAACTTCATTGCATTATGCTAGGACTAAAAGCTCTACCAACGATGCTCACCACTAGTCGCTCAAATCATCTTCCCCTTTCCTTGCACGCGACTCAAGATTTCTGGCACTCTCCATCATCTCCTTTATTTTCAGCCACTCAAAATTGATAACACCTCTGGAATCCAACCATTCCATAATTGCGTCTGCATCCGACAGGTCCTCTGGTGGCTTCATGCTCCCAGCATAAGCCACACGTACAAACCCATTTGCATTTCCGTCCCGCAGTGAGTCGATCTCTAGCAGGAGAGCTTTGAAGAGGGAATGCTATGGAAGACCGAAAAAGGCTAGAATTAGTTATCTGGCATCGACGTGCAAAAATTCGTAATGCTTGCCTCCCAATGTGTAAAGTTGTGGTACGCACGAGTCCGTGCAGCACAAAAGCGTCCGAGGTGGAACTCCCTCCTCGTATGGCTGTATCGTCCCTTCTCATCACTGGTATCAAGATCAGAGCTGGCGCCATCATCCTTGAATATAGATTGATATTATAGTCCTAGTGATGCAAGACAACACTCACCTCAAAGGAATCACGATCGTATGGGCGACCGCCCAGTCTACCGAGTATGGTAGACATTCGCCCCCCTAGATGACATGCGTCACATGAAGGTGTGGCAAAATCAAGTCGGAATGTTTCGAAATCAGGGTATGTATCTAAGGATTTCTTGAACTCAGGTCTCCATGTGGACGAAGTGACGAGGGAATCCCGCATGCCGGATATTTTACGGCGAGTGACAGATAAAGGTACTATAAAATACTGCTCTGCTCTTCAAGAATTAGATGTCTCGCACTTCGTAAAATGCACATCCGTGACTTACGCTCGAGAAGTTCTTCCATGACGAACGCGTGATCCTTTTTAGGATGAACGGCAACGTGCACAAATAGCTGGCAAATGGTCTTGAAATGGTGGACAAGATCCTGGTGAGTGCTCATGCTGAACTCGACGGGAAGTGCTGGAGCTTCAGTACTGTCATCTTCCACTATGAAGTTATCCTCGTCCTCCCCACCATCGTCGGCATTAGCTTCAGCCCCACTTTGATCGCTTGATTCCGCGGAACGGTCGCGTTTAGCATGTCTGAAAGGTACTGGATCGTCCGACTTTTCATTCGATGACGACGACGGTGATTCAACGACTTCTCCTCGTTTCCTACCTTCAGACACACAGTAAGAACAATTCTAACAGAGAGTACAAAGAAGCTGACGTTTGAGTTTCTCAAGGTTTCTTTGAAAAACGGACTTCTTATCACGCTGACGGAGACGGGGCTCGATGATCTCTAGACAAGGATTACTTGACAAGCTAGTGTGCAAGGCGAGACCAAGTAAGCTTACTGTCTTCGTCGACCTCATTCAACAAATTCTCCTCAGGAGAAGGGGGTCTGATTCCCTTGACGAATTTTCTTCGCCGATGCTTGGATCCTTGTTCTTCACTTGAGTCGCTCACAACTACCTGCGACCGCTTTACACCAGTCTTTCGCGCTTTCCATACCACTGGAATGCCTTTCACTTCCTCCTCACTCGCAACGGGGGCGACATCTTCATCGTCACTATCGGCTCTGCGCGCGGTAACTTTGCGTTTTTTGGATACGGGCCGGCGGGGAGACTGTTTTTGACTATCTTCGTCCGAGCTGATCTCTGTGACTTGCTGCTCAAAATGAATCGCGCCTGTGTCGCTGCTTTGACTCAAATCATCATTATTAGCGAGTATATGAGCGGATGAACTGTTATAGTCAGACACTGTCTTGCGACTTTGCCTCTTTCGCGGTTTGCGAATAGATTCATGAGGATTTGTCTGCAGCTCTATAGGCGAGCTGGATCTGAGAAATCCGTCTAGAGTGCGCTGTGTAGCATTTCCTGCAACGATTCTCTTACGAGGCATAGTAGTTGTCAGCGCAAGAGCGGCCTAGCTAAGTAACTTAGTAAGCTTGAAGGCATAAAATGGTCTCGCGAGTCGCGACCATTACGCGCTCGTCTAATTCCTATTAGCGCTCATGAGCAACTCTTCATCCTAAGCAATGGATCTGCGAAATTCGAACGCTCATTGACCCGGAGGCGTCCTTTAGTTTTGCTGCATCATGTCGACCCCCATTCTTCGTCTCGACACCAGCTACCTTCGCAGTGATATCGATAATAGCATTTCTTCCAGTTTAGCAACGCCTACTTCTGCTACTCGCAGCCGCGCACGCAGTCTATCGCAGTCTGTTATACCATCTTTCTTGCCACTCAACTCTCCTAGGGCCGAAACCTCTCCTGTCGACCTGCCAAACATCGCTGTTTCTCATGGAGCCAATAAAGCTCGCAACGAATCCCGCAAGCTACTAGCTCATTTACTTGCACAGCTGCAGGGGAGACCTTTACCACCTTCGTCTCTATATGGCCCAAGTCTCAAATCTGTTTTGAACGATAGAGGGTTAGGCGCAGTTGTCCAATCTGTCAAAGAGACGGTTAAGCATAAGCGTCGTCTGTCGGAGGGGCGAATCTATGACCATCCTTCACGGGATGAATCTGAAAGTGAAGTTGAAGAAGAGGCCGTATTCAATACGGATGCCACATTTGATCTTATGACTCAATTGAAGGACGTTCTCCTCATCTCGGCTCAGCAGAAGTGGGACATTCTGAACGATAGGCACGTGGGTTTTCCGCTCACTCGCGGTGTACTTAAGAGGACTGATACTCGGCAAGTAGTATTACGCATCTTGAACAGAGGCACAACAGCGGGAAAGAGATCGAATCGGGGAAGGGAAGTCAGAACGTTCGACGACGATCTCGAGTCCATTCCCGTTCTTTGTCTGCCACACCGTTGGCTCCAGAAGGGAGAGCTACTCGCACACCACCCCGGTTGCTGTCCCAATGCATACAAGTACTCGCTTCTGTTATTTCTGAAGATTGTCGCTTCAAAATATCAACCCCTCGCCCATCAAGGCCTCCCTACGCTCTGCATGCCGTCACTCTAGATGTGGCACAGTTTCTGATTCACAATCATCGTCACGACATGGTCACACTATCGCAGATCGCATTTGCGGTGATACCTGCATTTTACTCCTTCAACCCCACCCTGTATAATCGGCTGCTAGGCTTCTTTAACGACGTACTCCTCGGCGACATCTTAGAAGGTTTAGACCAGGCTCAACATAGTCAAAGTGGTGGGCTGCATAGTAAGTACGTGGATCAGATGAGATAATTTGGCTGATGAAGATACGTAGGTTTGTCTATTGATGCTGACGACGCCAAGGCTCCGATGGTGTCTATCACCGTAGATGAAGTGGATGATGTACCCGTAGGTGGCCAATCTGTCTCGGATTGGCCCAGGTGGTCGAAATACAACTCCACCGCGATAAACAAGACTAGGTCAACCCATGCACCTACTCAGGACGTTGCTACGCACCAGCGATCGTCATTGGTCTCACCACTGCTTACGGCGATCTTAGACAATGTAGACTTCGCGAATCCTGATTCGTCATGGTTGCCTCATCTTCACCGGCTCCTTCACAGACTTGTCAATTACAAACCCGACGCCTATCTGGATATTCTGGCGGTAGCCGCATATCACACACCGAGAGCCCGATATCATGCCTTGAAAATTCTATCGAGCTATTGGCCGCGAGCCTTTGGTCATCTGGTGGTCTGTAAATCCTTCCCAGAGATGTCGGTTCCAGCGTTACCGTCTCGCATGAGACAGAGTTTAGAGCACAAACGCAGGTCTTTACATCATCATCGCAACCCATATGCACATCAATTTATCCCGTGGCGATTCAATATTCGATCAACTCTTGGTTCATTCGAAGACGTTTCTCAAAATAATTGTCGACAGTGTTCTCGCTCAATTGCTGAATTCGGACTTTTCTGCCCACTGTGCATGTGTGGAGTGCATTTTGATTGCTACGACTATCCTGAAGGAAGCTCTTTCTCCGAATACGTTGTGGCATCTGGAGCAGAGAGACAAAGAATTGCTCTACACAAGTTCTGTCCTGTTCCACCCTCTAAGTTCGCGTCTTCGCCGATTGTCTCTCTCCAAGGGCAGCACTCCTTCCGATGGGTGAACCTCTTCAACATGTCCATTTGCTTCATGTGCCGCCGTCCTCTTTGGGGCTACGTGATGCAGGCTTTGAGGTGTATGTCATGCAAACATTTCGTTCACTCATCTTGCCTCACGGAAGATTTATCACAACTTCCTCGGTGCCGGTCTTTTTCTGCCGATGACACTTTTATCGCGGTGAACATGCAGACGTTGCGTGCATCTTTTATGGATCATTATCGCAGCTTGATCTTTACTGAAGCTGAGATCGGACACCAGTCTTACGAGGATATCTCAATTGTTCATGCAATTTTATGGGTGCAATCCCACATTCTTCGATTTGGTGTTGTACTTGGCTCCATTATCATCGTAGATTCGGATGAGCCGACATCTCCTTCGCAAGACGCTAGCGTGCCGAAATTTGAACTCCACAATCTTGTCAGCCTTTATGAGAAGACACTGTTATCGGGAAAGCTAAAGGTATCGCAAGCTATTGGGGACTATCTCGCTGAGAACAATATGCAAGCATCTATGATGTCAATTTTTTTCGACTGGAGTATCTTAACGTACATTGCGGCCTCGCTCAAGTCGCCTAGCGGAAACGCCACTGCTTCGGTCAACCTATTGACTATAGATGCCCTGGACCCCTTCGATGATGAAACCGCAAGCGAATCTACTTATTCGTATGAAACGCTCTCTTTAGCTCACATTCGGGACCAGTTGGGAGATCAATTCCACGTATTTTCCGAAGCTGCAGCAAGGCATGTTCTTTCACTTCTGTCAGACTTGGGCTTCTTCCAAAGGCTGGACTGCGAACGTCTTCTCAATGACGTGCGAGAGCCCGAACAAATCCGTTGCTGTTTTCCTCTACCAGTCGGGTTGGAGGTGTCTAATCAAGTGGAGACTTTGGTGTCCACAATTGAAGCCTGTCTACTGGATCTGGATTTATCCGTCAACGAAGCAGGTTTTATGCTACTCGTTAGGAAGATGTGGCCGGATAGGATGATGACAGACTACGCATTGCAAAGGCTTTGCTCCGCAGTAGTGAAATGGATAATATCCGAGGTCAGAGTTGTTGTTTTTGGCGCAGGTCGTGACACTGACGATGCTCTATACAGGACCAGAATCTGGGTATAATGCTTCGTGATTACATCGCCAAAGGCAAGAGTCTTCCGGGAGTGCGCTCTGCTACGGAAGCACAACCTTGGCCCTCATCAGTTCTATCAAAAACAGCGAAGGCAAGCTCCGTTAACAATGGCGGGGACTACGTTGCCAGCAGGCGAGCGCTATCGATTCAATATGCTTCTAGGTGGATGTTGGCTTTCCATAATCTGGATGTTGACAATTATGCCGACACCGTATTTACTTTGCTCGTACGTCAAACCGATACAGACGAAACCTTAGATGAGTACTTTCTGGGTAAGGAGGTGGACGATCGTAGGATGGTGAACTTTTATTCTGATTGGAATCAGTATGGCATGCTTACCGTGCGCAAATTATGATACAACAGAGACGCCAACTCGCCAGTGCGGATAAATTGTTAAAGCTGATCATAAAGCTGAATCAAGTCTCTGTGCTGTTTACCGCATTCGATGACTTATTCAAACGTTGGCTCGAAAGAGCAAATTCATTGACCCCTGATTCGCAAGTATGTGATTTACCACAACGCTGATTGATGTGCAAAGCTGATGTATTTATAGTCGTTGTCATCATTATCTCGTCTTTTTAACCGGGAAGTGGAAACGAGCCATCGGTTGAGCTCCGTAATAGAACCGGGAGTCAGTATATCGGGTACGGCTAACTTTGCCAGTGGTAGTGCTCTGCGGATATTGACCGATGCCGCGACGGGAAGCCGAGTTGGATTCACAGACACGATGCAGTCGCTCTGCCTCTTTGTCTGCGCTGGCGTTGACATCTCCATTCCTACGTTCATGCAATTCGTGTCTATTGCCCAGCAATTTGAAGCTACATTGGAGGAATGTTTGTTACTGATCAAAGCCACTTTGTGGTCAGCATGGCTTAGATCGGTTGGACGTCAGGAACTTCAAGCTGTGGTTGCCGGTCTTCAACAACTCCTTGCTCCCTGCATATCTGAATGCCTTCGCACGAAGAAGGAGTTGGACAAGAAGTGAGCTGCATCTCCTGAGACCGACAACAGACTTTGCCTAATGAGGCAGTAGCATCACTTTCATTAGGCAGTCCCTGGCAATTTGTCTCCTCGTATATGGTTGCGAGCGGAAATATATCATGGAGTTGGACATACTGCGAGATGAAGATATACGTGGCTTACCTTCCAGGTGAATGCTTTTTATGCAAAACATTGTCCTTCCTTGCAAGCACGCTCATGAAGTGTTGAAGACGAAAGCTGCATTCCCGCAATTCTACTATATCTGATCCTGTCATTATCGACGCAAAGCTCATGCGTGCCTTGAAAATGTACGTTGAGGCCGAAATTGACGAGGTGTCCAGTCTTATCGCAAAATTTCTCAATGCTTTTGTCAATGACGCACCCTTCGTGGAGTCGTATGAAGTTGATAATTTCATACTGCGCAATATGCCCACACTCTGTGTCTGGTATTTATGTTCATATGTTGAGTTTTACGCAAAAGCTGATTTTGTATCAGTATATGGCAGTTCTATGGTATTCAAGCTCCAAATTTATCTATCATTCGTCCTGCTCTTCTGTTGCGCGTTATTGTGGTTGACCCGCATCCATTCTACAAGTTACTTGATGACGCAATCAGCGAACAAAAACAATGGGAACTACGGTAAGCCACCTGAAAACCCACGGCATACATAGTGACTTTATTACAATCACAGTCTCCAGGCAGCGCTACGACTTTTCCGTATTATTCTGGATGTTACAAGCCCCGCGTTCAATGTCGAGGGTCGTCAATGGAAGACTAGTGTCATCCAAATTTTTGATCGCTTCTTTTCAGGCATTTGGATGGATGAGAGGGTGCTTCATTCGTCAATTCATGCATGTATTGGACTTATAGTGATTTACAGGAAGAAGTCAGAGTTGCACTGGATACATGGGCTAGAACCCTGCTTGAAGCGCATCAGAACGCAATCGCAAGCTGCTGGAACGAATCGCTACTCAAGTCTCCCATTGCTGAACGCGTGACCCTAGTGTCTTTTTTGAATCAATTGCGATCCCATTTCCCCCGTTGGCAAGGTGAATAATATATCCCGGTCTTCTTAGAAACACTAAGTGAGATGCTGTATGTAGTGTTATCCTGGAATGCGATAACGGAAGCATTACTCGAAAACGAGTCCCCACAAAAATTCGATGATGATGATGTGGCTGCGGAACACATGGTGCGTTCTGACGTGAAGTGTACATGTCTCTTGCTTGGTACTGATCGGTATCAGGCTATGTACGGACTTCCCTCTGGAAATATAGAGAATCAAGAACAGAAAGATCTCAACGGCGACTGTCTGCGGGTAAGTGGCTAAAAGTCTGGTGAAATGATCACCTAAAGTCTCCCAGATGTCCCTACTATCTCTGGCCATGCGGATGATCTCTGATGGTATACCAATTGAACCCGTACATCTGGTCAAAGTCAAATTTCACCTCGTGAAGGCCATCGGGTATCGCGAAGTTGCTATGTGTCCTACCATCACTGGACGTAGCTTTCACATCCGCTTTCACAGCCTACCCTTGATTCCGAAGTCAGCTGACTCTTGCTTAAACGACTTCATCTCTGTTCTGGATTCTTCACAAGCATATGACGTGTCGCCATCAATGATGGGTGGCCCATACGCAGAGGATGAGGCACCTTGCTCACTACTAGTTGGATCTATCCTTGTAGATGTGCTTCTGGACATCTTCATGAACGCAGAAGATCTTGCCGCTCTACTGCCAGTTACCCTAAAGAACCTCCTTAAATCTCTGATAATTATATCTTATAAACATGACTTTGATAGGAGACCTCTGAAGCACCTTCAAGGGGCTTTGCGGAAGGCGGTCCGCCGAGCTCTGGATCTAGTACTGGCCGAAGTCAGTTATGAAATACGGCAGCTGGCACTTTCTGCTTGTCACACGTTGATTAAGAGATGGCCCGCCGTAGTCGGTAATACTTTGATGTCAGCTTGTTTAATAGGCCCTCCGTGTACGCGGTCGCTTAATTCTTTGGTCTACAGCGAGGCGATTGAAATATCCATTCGGCTCCTAACCGTCCTCGATTTCGAAAAGAATACGGACGATGTTCTGGTGGATCAAGCATGCTCTTTCCTGGTGACGACACTCACGATGTTATTGACTTTCCGTCGAATTAATTTGACTATGCGCTGACGATATTCATAGGTTCGCGACTGGTGGCATTTTTAATGCCCTATGTAAGGTAAGTGACGAAATTCATTGTATCATTTAAATTTGACATCCTCTACATAGCGGCCGCTCACAGCCGAATTCTTCACTGTCTTGCGTTTCATAAGTGCGCCCAAGGTAAAGGGAAGACGGGTGTCGACACGAAGCAGTCTAAATGACACGCTTCTTCGTGATACGCTTGCGAGGTCTCTAGAGAATGATTCTGAGACGTTCCAACTGGTGATCGAGAATCTAGCCACATTTGTGGAAGTCGTACATCACGCAGACTATAGTTCAGACATGTTGCAGTGTGAGTTAAAAAGTGACGCATTTTACTTTAATTTCTTCAATCAACTTTGTCGTGTTTTCAGCCGTTGGAATTTGGTTAACAGGTATTGCTCGACGCACCGCTGAGTGGCCTCCGGGTGCATTCAATACCAGCCCTCTCTTTTTACTTGCTTGTACACTTATCCAACACAATAAGGCTTATAGTCGAGTCGGTTTGGTTTTGACCTCTTCGTTCACTTCCATATTGAAATTGTTCCTTTAGGACATACTTGGTTTCATGGAGACCCTCCTCAGGGCCACGTTGATCCGTTGTGTGGTGTCAACACAAAGCCTAACTCGCGTCGTTGATGTGACATCCGAATTATATAGGAAGGCGGCGGTAGCATCTGGAGGACAGCCGACAAATCCCATAACACTCGTGATGATAGAAATTGTGGGAGATGTTGTACGTGGAAGAGCTCGGGTTGCTCCGGCAACTATGGTGGCCTTATGCGAAGTAAGTCGATCGGCGCTGTTAATTAAGTGCACTAATCGATTCCGTAGACCATGCGCGCAGCCGTAGTCCCCAGGCTTCTGAAACGGAAGCTGATCCCCGTTCCGGAGGACCTGGTATACAAATTGGCGACGGACGCGCTTCTACTTTTGTGTAACGACACCGAGAGCCAACCCCAGATTACGTTCGATGTGTCGCAAGCTGCAGCTGCCCTGACGCTCGATGTAGCAGAATTTCAACCCTCTATCTTAAGTAGATTGGCGGTGAGTTCAGTACTCCTGAATTGTCTCAGATTTAACCGAGATGTCGATTTCACCGTTGACAGAATTCTCAAGTACCCACCCGGACATGGAATGTACTTGTCATTGCAGCCTTGCAGAGCTCCCATGACGTTTCTGCGTCTCTTATATTCGACTACTTTCCTGCTTTCTCTCTGGCTTACTCTAGCTGCCTCGAGCCATACAAGGATCCTCAGCGATTAGCAAGCCTCGAGGCGCAAAACTCTGCTTATATCGACATTAGCGGTGCATATGCATCGATCAAGCTGTGGCTACTTCTTGTCAGGAAGGCCGCGAATCACCATAGGGAAGCAAGGGAAAGGCTCAGCGAGGACCGGGAAGTCAATATGCTGCAAGATGGCGAGATCCTTGCTACTAAGACTGTTTGGAATGAATTATGGCCCCCTCTTGACCGCATTATGGCTGCGCTGGAAGCGGTCGCACATGCAGGCGGTAGTTCGGTGTGTCATCCAATCTTGAATAGTCGTCGTTCATTCCTGAGATCTTACCTCCCGGACGCACAGCCATTGGCACCTATGTTGTGCGCATCCGTTGCTGACCTCCTTTTGTTCCTGCATCAATCATGTACAAATACGATGTCCGCCAATTCCGAGACGCGTGTACTTGACCGATTACGTAGCATCGGACAAGGTGAATCGAGGGTAAGCATGTACTTGTCTTAAATGTTCGTTTTCAGACATCATTGACACTGCGATTTACAAGCTTGCACGAGTGACTCGCGCTTTAGCAGAGCCATCACCGAACGCCTCATTGGATTTTTTCGTCAGCCAAATTTCAACAGAGATGCAGGCTGAGGAAAGGTTGTACGCAGCTAAGCGACAGGACTCGGCCCCGGAAAGGATTCGCAGAGTTGTAAGCTAGCAAGCCACGGAAGGACAGTATTTATTCATTTCGGCTTCGAATTGCGTCATTACTTCTGTGTCTTCATTCGCGATACATATGGATGTACCTGTCTCTGGCCTGTAATCGCCATGGCTCCCAGAAAACAACCGATGGCAGATATGCCCAAGATCAAAATAAAAGTGGGAATACGGATAGCCCACTCTCTCGATGGGAATATTTGATGTATAGGAGCGGCACTGTCGAAGAATGGCTGGATGTTGCTGCATTATACAGTGTCAAATACTCAATAGTTCCTAGGCCCAGCTTACCAGGAGGATGGTCCATATTGTATAGTATGTGAAGGCCAGCGTGGCTGCCACCAGCATTGCTTGCCCTCTTTTTCGGTCGCTTAGAGGCTGGTACAGTCAGTCCACCGAACGTCGAAGAATTTCTTCCATACCATTTCGTGACCAGCAGTATAACTTTATGGTGTAGCATTAGCAATGTTCGGCATTGAACGTTGAACTGGCATCGTCGCCATATGAGGTTGAGGACAGCGCCGGGGCGTCTTTTCGTGTCCCGGCGTCTAATTAATACGAACGAGTCCCAAGTCCCACAGCTTGGCATTGAATCGCTGTCGAAGTCGGTGAACGTCGATTCCTCGGTAATCTCTGCACGACATCCTGTGGCGTCCATACATACTTGCTGCAAGTCTGGCGTTCCCGACCGTTGTTCGACCTGCGTCCGAATGCGAATCGTTTGAATGGATTCCCTCGCCTTTGGATCTCTTGCACACATCCATATACTGATTGTACCCATCGGAAATATCCACCGGGCGACGTACGAGAAATGGGCGTCGGAAGTCAGAGGGTTTGAAACCATCCCGCTTGAAGATATCCCAATTGATTCAAGAGATGATAGAGGTAAGTTAGATGTACTTCTATGCTGAGCCCCCAATCTGTGACTACTCTCAACAGCTCGTTTTATGCCCACCCCCCTCGCCAAGGGCCACCTGCATCTAAACTATCTATCACATCCCTCTTCGTTATCCCACAATGCGCTTTCCCTCTTTCGACCATCTGAATTTCCACTTGGAGTCATTGGTATTGCGTCCTGCTCTCAATCTGATTCGATTTCCTCGATCCTGACTGCATTCGGTACGGCCATGAGCGGCCTGCCTCTTCAAGGGTCCGCTATTCCCGCCACTAGAAATTGCTTTGTATTCGAAGACAGTGATGTCGGGCTAGACGTGGGGGACCGATTTCCTGGTCTTGTAATCATCCCTGGTATGATGGGCAACAAGCGAGTTCACATCGGTACGCTAATTGCTGGGCTGTGTTCGCAAATCCTTGGGCAGTTCGCAGCAGTGGTTTGTCTTTCATGCTCATACCATCTGCTACTCATAAACATGGCTATAGATGCAATCGTTAGAAACTCCCCTTGGGAATGAGTATCTCAACGCATCTTTATTCCCGAATCTCCCTCCCTCGTCTGAATTTCCGAAGCCACTTGATTCAAGTGGTGGTTTTCGTGACCCTGCACCTCTCCCAGCTCGTAATAGTCAGCCAGACCTGAGTAACGGTTCTTCGCGATCTAAGACACCTCTTGGGGCCAAGCGGGTCTCCTCTGGTCCTGGTCTTGCTCCAATCCGGCACGCTAGTCTCCCTCCAACACCGGCGACGACAAAGAAGCGACCAAGTGCGATTGGAGCTGCTTCTTCTCACGGTAGGCTCTTCAAGGTGTTGGGTGACCTCTTCTTGCTCGCCGGTAGGCATGCAGACTCATCAGTTTGGTATGGAAGCTTGTCATCCCTCAAAGAATGCGCTGCGCTTAACTGATTGTTAATAGGTATACCGAAGCTATTGCACTGTTTAAAAACTCACAGGATGCAGTATGGCATGCATCTGCCTTGGAGGGCTTAGCCACCATTCCGATAGTCGAAGCATGGTCATCAAGTAACAGTATGGTTCGTGGGTCATTACACAATATCGGTACTGTATGACAAGTCGCCTCCCCTAGCTCAGTAGCGACAATGAGAAGGAACCGTGGCAAGACATTATGGATAAATTGAACTACGCTCAAGGTCTTTATCACAAGACGGCTCCTCCATCAGATGCAGAAGGGTCACACGTGCATCAAACATATTTGTATGCCCAATGCGTTCTTCGTCAAGCGTCATTACTTTTTGCAGTGTGGACTTGCAAAGGCTGGGGCTCAAATACCTTTGCAAACATGTTGCATCCGGGTCCAAATCCCTTCCTGTCCGGAGTTCCTTCTACACATCCTGTTGCAGGTACTAAGGGAGAGACGAATGCCGCCTCCACGTTGCCACCTAAAGCAACGTATGCTCATATGGAACGACTTACGACTATCACAGGTATTTCCCGTGCGCAGATCGCGGGCGTTCTGGCTCAGGTTCACGGGCCTTGGCTTCTACATTTGGGTCCACGTGAGCGAATCACAATACTGCAAGCTACGGCCGGAATGTATGGAGCCCTGGGCTATCTCCGCAAAGAAGCCTACATCCTTCGCGAAACGTTGGGATCCATAATGGATCTTATTGTATGTGGACGTCAGGAGCAGATTGGAATACGGGATTCTGGCAGCAGTTCAATGAATCGTGGACTCGCACAACCTGGGGCTTCTACGAGCCAAGGAACTGTCGGCATAAGGGAAAATCAGAGGACAGAAGGGAACGACAGTCTACTCCGAATCGTCAAGCATATTTGTAGGGTACATGGCGTCGATCTCGAGACCGTACGATTGGTCGATGTCAGCGCCGTTTCGCAAGCGACGTCAAGACAAGACCGTGATATGACCGATGACGTATCCAATGCGGACGATGATGATCTATCAGAGTTACCGCAGGAGCCTTTTGGCTGGCCTGAGCTCCAGATCGGGATAGTGCGTGAGGCGATTGCGGTAGCAGAAGCATTGCCTGGTGCGTAACAACTCTAGAGACAGATTGGATTCTCAGGCAGTATCTTCCCTATCCACTCAGACTATCCTTCCGTTGCCCAGTTCTCATTGTCTTCGTTGAAAATGCTTCATCCGGTCATGAGTCAGAGTGACCAGTTTCATTTTTATCACACGGCTACTCGTGCCCTGGCGACCGCGATTCGTAGGGGAGACAGACGGACCGTGGAATATTGGGCTGGACGACCAGTCATTAGCGTAGAAGTATTATCGTGAGTAGTCGTCACTTCTATCGTATGGACTTGGCTTCACCTGTAACATAGTTTGCCCCTCATTCGCTTACCTCTTGAGAAGCCTTTATCACTCATCACAACGAAGCCCAATAATCCAAGCATTAATCCTATTTTTAGTGGATCCAGAGATCCATTTCTATACAATCCGCGAAAACTAATGTCAGGACAGGTCACCCTACTCCCTTCCTGATTTCCAGAATTGGTTTTGACGGTGTTTACTCTTAGACGCAAAGTATTCTCGTTCAAAACGAACGTTTTGAAGTCTCCGTCACTCTGCGAAATCCATTCATCTTTGATTTACAGCTAGAAAGTATAGCATTAAGGTGAGAATGCACTTTGATCTATCATTCTTACTGCAACGTCTTTCTGACATGACACTACGTTTTCTTTTCCGCCTACAGCACGTCTGGCGTACGCATTGAGTCAGAGGGCATGCCTGTGATCATTCCTTCAAACTCGTACCACCCTGTCACCATTTCTGGAAGAGCACTCGAAGCCGGTACTCTTGTGATTCGCGGATGCACTGTGCAAGCTCCGGGCGGTGTCCCGCGCGAGTATACTTTACCATTGTCCTCAGAAGAGGACGACCAGCGTTTACAACGGCGAACTACAGCTTTATTCGAGGCCGGGCGATCCAAACGATCGGGTCTTGATTCTCGTCCATGGAAAAGAGTTGATAAGCAAGCAAAAAGGCAGAGCGCGAGGACGACAACGATCCGCTATCTGGAATGCAACGTTGTTCCAGAGCAACCCCTTCTGCGTATCAAAAGGACGTCGCTGACACATGGAGCAGTCATGCTCTACGATGGTGAAACGTGAGTTTCTAGTTTGTTTAGACAGGTTTTTTTTACAATATTGCTCATGGGGCGGTGTACTTAGGTCAACGATCCGGTTAACATTTGAGAACGTATCATTGTTACCAATTAACTTTCTGCGGCTTACATTCGACGATTCGACAATTGCTCCTGCCCAGCAACTTCTTACCGAGGGAGAACTGTCTATATTCGACACGTATGAGACGGAATATGACCTAATTAGTCGGCCTGTATTTTTCTGGGATAGTTCCCAAGGAACACATCAGGTAGATCCAGGCGAAAAGACAACCGTGACTGTTAAGTGCTTCGGCAAAGTCGGCTGGTAAGTGTAAGTTGACCTGTATTTTGCTTGACCTACTCACATCTTTGCTCAGCACCAGTGGCGCAGTCCATGTCTCGTATGCATACATCGACCGCCACGAAGTCCCTGACAAGTCGTTGGATATCTTCCACTCGCGCCAGCTCTCATACCCCGTCGTGGTGACCGTCTATCACATGTTAGCGTGCCATGCGATGGATATCCTATCGTTCTCCGCTATCACGAATTATGCATCCTCGATGCTGACTGCCGACGATCCAGTTGCGCTCGAACGTGAATGGGGTCAGAAAGGTGTCTGGAACGTTGACGACGCAGCGGATTGGTGTTTGTTCACGGTAGATGTGCGAAATACCTATGGTTTACCATTTGAGGTCACGTTTGAAAGATCACAGCCGGGTGAGTGACGGACAAAGATCATCTTTGTATTGACTGAAGCCGAAATAATTTTGTAGATCTTGCCTCAACAACACGTTTAGTGCCGCCTGGGTCCACATCGAGGTGATCATGTTTGTTGGGATATGCAATATGCATCTAGATGACTTGACCTTTCTACAGATTGATCCTACCTATCAAAAAGATATTGTTATCTGAGGAACACGTGTCTAGGCCCATCCCTACACTGTCTGACAGGCAGTTTGTCGTGGCTAAGTCTGCCTTAACATCAGCAGAAGAGAAGGCACAGCGAGAGCTATTCTGGTATAGGGAAGAGTTGTTCAAAGTGATTACTGGCCGATGGAAAGAAGTAAGCGCTTTCGCATTGAATTTCTTTGACTCTTGAATATTCGCAATTCGTAGAGCGGCGGCACTCGTACGGGCACACTTTCTTTGCGACAACAACGGATGACGCTGCCCATGCTTGAGACCCTGCGCACGGAGACAGTGCGAGTGCAGATGTCGCTATTTTATCGAGATGAGGATGGTGTATCCAAAGACGTTGCTGTGGATCCCACAAGGTCCAAATATTTCGCCTCACCTAATGAATTCATGTATTTGCGCATCAAGGTGGTCAACATGTCTCGTGAGTATCTTTTTGATTTGACCTCGCCCTTATTGAACACTCCCTCAGCACTGGAGCTGGTGCTTACCCTGAATCTCACTTTGGATCCTGCACAACATGTCATTCACCAAGGAACTCTGGTAGATATACCTGTAGGACGCCTTGCACAAGCCGAATCACGAGAGACAGAGATCCCCATAATATTCGTTTCCGCCGGACAGTTCAACTTCACCTCTGACGTATACGCGATTACAGATCCCATTCAATCTGGGAAAGTAGGAAGAGGTCAGCTGAGAACAGCAGTGAAAGTACAAGACTTTCAACCATAGCGGCGAATCGGTGATGGTCGTTGTCCGACGTGAAAGCCCTCGGAGCAATGCAGGCAGGCAGGCAGACAGGCAGGGACATCAGGTCACTAGATTCTTAGTTGGTACTGTGCCCGCCACGAACACGGTTACGCCGCGCATGCAATAGTAGTACATCCCTGACGTACAGAATGCACGAGTGGTAAATTATCATTAGTCGAAATCAGAATCCTCCTGCTTGAATGCGGCACTGTACGCCAATATTGTTCCATACACCAAGCTGCAGCATAAAGACTCAGGTAAGAGGATAATCCGGCCATACAAACGAGATACGTACGCTCCACCAATAATTGACATAGCACACGCGCCGGGTCGTATCACCTCTGAGTGCGCCAAAACAAGAGGGAAGGCAAACCCGGTTACAACTATGGTAGAGGTGATAAACCGTGGAAGGTCGCCACGCCCTGAACCGTCATAATCTGCAGAAAACTCATCACCGCCGCAGCTCGCTGACAACGCGTTTGGAAGCGGTGCGAGTACAAATGTCAACGCTGTGAAGTCGTATTATTATTAGGCACAAGACGGGGGAGACGCATGAGTTACCGACGAGGAGAGGAAGCCAGTTTGCCCACAGTGCACAGGATAGAATGATGAGCAGAAAACCCACAGCCAGCACGAATGAGAGAAGGATTACAGCTGTGAACATGCATAAGTAACAAACCCCCCCACTCCCCCATAAAGTAGCAACTGACTCTTGATGCCTGCGTGGGCCATAATTTGAAGAGACGAATGCCGCGGGTTCGTTGGGTGCACAGACTCGGAGTGTTCACTGAACTGGTAAGTAGACCACGCCCGCAGCAGAGACCGGGCATATAGACGCTAGCTGCCCAACGTACGTAAGCGAAAGACGGAAACTAAATCCTGGGTCTGAGGCTTTCCCGACTCCGAGTCAGGCTTACTTAGTGATGTGATACCTCTCTCGACGTTTCTTTCAAAGTCTGCCTATGAGAGACAACTTGAAGCTGGAAGCGTTCGTTTGATGAAAATTTCAGTACTTCGCCCGTCCAGTGCGTAAAAATGTACATGTCAACACTTTAAGGCAGGATCATTCCAGGAGCCAGCTTTTGCTAGGTATTGACGAGATGGAAAGAAATAATGTAATAATGTAACACAAAAGAACACAAGTCTGGTCCGAGTCTATACAACAATCTCGTCATCGCGGTACTCTCCTGGATCCTCTTGCGGCTAACACATTCGTTGACCTTTCAGTCAACGTCCCCATAAGCGGCAACCCCAACTTACTTAGCGACGCATTCGTCAACTTCCTCGCGAGGATATTTGGTGGTGGTGGGGGAAGTGGTGGAGGTTGAAATGCCGTCGCGGTTGAGGACGCGGACGATGACAGTGACTTGATAGAGGGATGTAAGTTGATGTCATCTGATGGTGGCAGATTCTCTATCTCCTGATCCTCCTGTAACTCTTCCTTAACGTCCATTGCCATATCTTTTCTATCTTCATCCTCATCTTCGATATCTGGCACGTCAGGAGATGGTAGATGTTCAGCTAGGAACGTCTCGCGGTTGGCCAAAAGAAGGCCTTGTTGCCTCCAGTCCCTCAGCAGCGCATCTCGACTCTTAGTCAACTGCCAATTGTCCACATAGTTCCAGGTCCGCTTGCGTGGCGTCGAACCAGTAGGAGAATCTTCTAGCATGCCGTCTTCTACAAGAGCTTCGATTGCTCGTCGCGCAATTGATATATGAGATGAGGCGTTCGAATGATATGTATCGGTGGTCGTGGTTAGCCCAGAAGACTCTGAGACTATCCGTTGCGCTATGGCATCCACATTGCGTGATGTTGAGGCCACGCCGCGCTGAACATAGCGATAGGTGGACTGTGTATCCGCGACAATAGCATCAGTGGCCTCGATCCGCGCTCTCTTAGCTCTAGAGATCCGATCAAACGCTGTGTACACCTCAGTACCCGCGAATCTTGTGCAGCTGAGTTTGGCTTACCTTCGGTACATGTTGTACCGGATTTCTGTGTCTGTCGTTGTAGATCGGCAGAAAATAACGATGTCGAGTTCATCACGGAGCTCTGAACATCAGTAAGTCCCGTACGAATGACCGTTCGAACCGAATTCAGCGCCTGCTTAAGGGTATCAGTGAAATCTAATATGCAACGGGAAATTTGTCACCTTAATTCCGCCATCGCGGGTCCTCTTTCCTTCCATGCCCCTTCTCCCCAGCTCGGCGCTCCACTGCTGGCCATGGGTTACCACGCCATCCAGTCTCTGGCTTTGTTCTTGGCCAAGCTGTATCATTTCCTTCTCCGCATCCTGATTGCTTTCCGTCATTTTCGAGAATGCATCCCGCAAGCTACAATCACGCTCTGCGGTGAAGTCTCCAAGTAAGCCAGAAATTCGCTTGATGAGGTCATCTTTGGCATGATCAGCCTTAAGTCTCTCCGATTCGAGCAGGGTTGTGAGCAATTCGTTTTGGCTTTGTAGACGGTGGATCTCGGCGTTTGTCGCCTTGTCTGACAGCATCTTGGCTTCCTGTAACAGCTTACATTCGTTGGTAACATAGTCCTGCGCTTCTTGGACTATCTTTTCAGCGAAACTTCCCAGAGCCTTGAACGCCGCCTCAACCTAAAATGTCTGTCAGTGCGCTCAAACAGAACACAGGAACAATTTTTTATTTACATTAGCACAACTGGCAATGCTAGACGTTTCTGCTTCCCGACACGTTGTCTCACAGTGTATGCGTAGTTCTTCCGTCCACGACGCGAACCCTTTCTTGATACTGTCCTGCGTTTCTTCCACTGCCGTCTGTATCGCACCAACAGCATTGCCAGACGTTTCCTCGCGAGCATGAATCGTTTGGAGAGCCTGTCGAATTTTTTCCAGCTGCTCATCTACTCGCTTGGAGATGGCTGAGAGCGCTTCGCGTTCCTTGGTTTGGAAATCTTCCGTCTCTGAACGAAGCTTGCGCAAATGTTGATTCGTGGTCTTAACTAATGCGTCTAATTGTGTGGACATTCCCTGAGTCTCAGCGGTTAAAACCCTGGTACTGGCCGCAACCGCCTGAGAATTCGAGTTGAGCACAGTTGCTTTCCGCTCTGTGGTACTGGTAAGTAACGGGGACTGGACTTCCTTGACCCAAAAGACTTACCCAGCTTACTGTACAATCGTCCCAGGTCGCTCAACCCCTCCTGGACCACTTTCTTCAGCCCGACTGCGACGCCGTCCAGCTTTCCTTCGGAATCCTGATACGCCTGCCTGACTACCACCTCTTCTTGCAATGCACCCTTGACGACCCTCAGCTGACCGTCCTTAGCTTCCAGCTCTTCTTCAGTATCCTTTAACTTCTCTCGCGTCTCCTTCAATTCGCCATCTCGTTTCAAGAGCAACCCAATGCTCTGCTCGAACTCTTCACGAACGTTCCTGAGCTGACTCTCGACGATCTCCACTTGCTTACGCGATTCTTGGATCTCCGTTTCACGAAGTTCTTGCTCTGCGATCATTTGATTCCATGTTTCTTCCGCAAAGAAGATCCCGTTCTTCTCGCGTGCAGCTAGGACGTCGGCCTTGAGGCGCTCAATTTCCACAACATACTCCTTTAACAGAGAATTGCGTGTCATTCGCTGATTTACTTCAGGCTTATTCCGTATGGATTTCGCTCGAATAGCATAATCAAGAGTGGATAGCGTCTCCTCCATGTTGGAGCGGGCGGGGGAAATAGTAGCGATGATGCACGTCTTGGTGCGTCCCCCGAGCGAGTCTTGTAATAATCGCGTAAGTTTTGATTCTCTAAGTCTTCCTCAGTTCCATCGACAAGATGCATATACGAGGAATTTACCGATATGGAACATGCGAAGAACGATCCACGAGAGCGTTGATGACTCTTCCAAGCGTAAGGAGACTCTGGTTAATCATACCAGCTTCTCTCGCACGTTTATTCTCTGCACCAGAGCGCCCAATATTTTCCGAGCCCGCTAAGTCAACCAGATTCAACTTGCCCACCTTCAAAAGGTCATCACCCATGGACGATATCTCCTTTGTATGCACAGTGATAGAGAAGACAGAGTGGGAACGGCTGGAATGGTCGTTGAACTTGGTTGCCGCAATTTGTCGGCGATGACTGCCCTTGGTGAGCAATGCAAGTGCGTCGGCAGCGTCTTTAACGCCTGATTCCTCAAGACCTTGAATGAAAACTCCCTTCTTACTTGCATCGTCGAAGATCTTGAGATTGCCTTGGCCTGCTGCATCTTTTGACGTACCCATTCCCATGGGCTGCGTAGAGCCTACTGGTGCACCAAGCTCTGGGGCCAACAAATCCCGCAGCTCCTCGTTATACAGCTCAACGTATGATATTTTCACGCTATAATCCGTCCCGGAGGATTCGAGCTGATGAAAGAGGCGGAAGAGGACACGGGGAATCATGCCGGCCTGTGGCGATGGATTCCCCATTGGAGTAGTGGAAAGGTCGCCTTGCATGGTAAATCTGGCCGGAACGGAGATTAGATCAGCGTATATGAAGCCATTGCATTGTGCCTTACGTTTTACCAGTCCCAGTCTGTCCATATGCAAATAACGTACAGTTGTATCCCATCAGCACTTCGTCTAACATGGGGCTCACGACTTCGTGGTAGACCATGGCTTGATCCGCTTCCGGACCAAAAACAGTGTCGAAAGGGTATGTGCGTGTGGGCGGAAGCGTAACAACGCCAAGACTGGATATTGGCGCAGCAGTCTCGATAGTGATGTCCTGACCTTTCGCGCCATTTGTAGTAACAATGATGGGGGAGTTCTCCTGTATCTCGCGTTCTGAGCGGCGCCTGCAGCGGACCACAACTTGTATATTTGTCTCCATATCATCTTGAATCGTAGTTTGTGTTTGCTGCTTGGGCATTCTAAATGGCACAGCTGCAACATCAGAAGGGACACTCCCTTCAATTGGAGTGGCTAAACCGGAGCGCTGCGAGGAATTCGACTTGGCTAGGGCAGAACGAGGCCGACTGCCACTTGCCACCGGTGGGCCCATAGAACCCTGTGTGTTTGCTCTGATCCTTGAAGATGGTGGGCGGCGAGACGCCATCGGATGAGTGTAAGAGTGCTCGGAGTCGAAGGCGATTCTGTGGAGGGCCCGCATCCAACACAACGCGCTCAACGTTCGCGTATTATCACGTGAGCGAGTAGTTCGTGGGAATATCACCCTTTATGGAATCTATATAGCGCAGCTGAAAGAATGTGCAATGCGGCGTTGGTCTGTTCATGCATCATGGGCAAACGCAAAAAGTCGTCCCGAAAGCCACAAGGTCCTCGTAAGCGGGACCCACTTTGTGAGTCAAAGGTGCATATATGACACTATTTTGAAAGTTAACAAGGCAAAATCATGCAGCGACTACTTTCACATGTCTATTTTGCCACCATGACGATTCCGTTACTGTCAGGTTAGATAGGAAAGAAGGGCTTGCTCAGTTATTCTGCAAGGTGTGCGATCAGCGATACCAGAGCAAGGTCAATCGTATGTGGAGGCCTACCTTTCCTGGCTGTGTCGCACTAATCTGCTCAGCAGATTTGACAGAACCCATAGACATTTACTCGGAATGGATCGATGCTGCAGACGCCGCTGAGAAAGAGGCTCTGTCTACGCGCAGGCCCGTGGCCTCGTCTAGTCGCGCCGCACCTCCGCCATCCTTTGGCAGCGATAATGAGTAGGAGCTTGGGCCGTCGACTGTACGGTGAAGCTCATGTAGCAGCTATATCTTACTCACGAATGCATCTCTTACACTGTATAAATACATTACACTACCGTAACAATGAATCCTGTTCGAATATTTGCATCAACTTTTGGAGTGCGACTCTGAGTGGAAAAATGCAGGTACAAGGATGTTAGATTAAGCAAGGCGCCTTGAATTGGAGGTGGCCTTTTGCGGAACGCGTGTGTGCTTGACAACAGCCACAAATAGCCGCCGATCGGAAAGGGACCTCTGTCCACTTTGTCCGTGCTGCGACTTTTGGGCTGTATCCTACTGTCGTTCCTTACTCTTAGAGGGAGCGCCGCATTGGCGCGTCTGGTATACCCTTCTCAACACCGGACGTCATAGACATCCTGCTCGGTTAATCACAGCCAAGCTTTACTTAGAATGGCGTCCTCCACTAACATCAAGGTCGTCTGTCGGTACGAACCTCTCATCGGTTTCCCCTGCCCGCTGTAAGCAGCATATTGATTGGTTGCCCCGACGTACAGTTTTCGACCACCAAATTCAATTGAGCAACGAGAAGGCGGCGAAATCGTAGTTTCTTTCAGCGACAACTTGCAGACAGTGCAAATCCGCTCTGCGCAGCTTAGTACAGGCCCGGAGAGAGATGGCTTTACATTCGATAGAGTGTTTCCTCCTGGAACCAAACAACATGAAGTGTTTGATTATGGCGTCAAAGAGTAAGCACCGTCGCTGTGCCCGTTTCGCGCGATACTCATTACTGTGTAGCATCGTGAAGGGTATGTTTTGAGCACCGTCTCTGCTTTTGGAGGCTTCTGGGGGATTTATCGCCTTCCTAGCATATGCGAGACTAAATGGCTCATTGAATGATCTCCACAGATGTTCTGGATGGGTATAACGGAACAATTTTTGCGTATGGCCAAACCGGTAGTGGGAAGACATTCACGATGATGGTATATAACGCTCTCTTGCTATGGCCCTTGAATCAAATGTTTATGTGCTTTCGCAGGGAGCAGATATTGACTCTGTGGACTTGAAAGGTCTCATTCCTCGTATAACAGAACAGATCTTCCAGTCTATCGTGGAGTCCGACGCGCATCTGGAGTACGTCGTGAAGGTGTCATATATGGAGATCTATCTTGAGCGAATCCGCGATTTGTTGGCGCGTACGTGACACACTAACGCCAACTTGGACATGCGTGTCAAGCTGACCTGGTATTCCAGCACAGAACGACAATTTGCAAGTTCACGAAGAGAAGTCTAAAGGTGTCTACGTCAAGAATTTGTCAGACTACTATGTGAGCAGTGCGCGGGAAGTATATGAAATTATGCGACAGGGTGGTGCCGCACGGGTGGTCTCTTCAACAAGTGAGTATCCTCAATATCACTGGTTGGATTACCACTAATTATCTGCTAGACATGAATGCGGAGAGTTCGCGATCTCATTCAATCTTCCTTATCACGATCCAGCAACGAAATACAGAGACGGGTGCGCAGAAGAGCGGTAATCTCTATCTTGTCGACCTGGCGGGTTCAGAAAAGGTAGGGAAGACTGGCGCATCTGGACAAACATTAGAGGAAGCAAAGAAGATCAATAAGTCTCTATCAGCCCTTGGAATGGTCATCAATGCTCTGACCGATGGAAAGGTTTGTGCTGGCTGTTTCTCATGTAGCTACTTCTATCTGACATCTTCGGATGTTAGGCAAAACATGTCCCCTACCGAGACTCAAAGCTGACCCGAATTTTGCAAGAATCTCTCGGAGGTAACTCGAGAACAACGCTCATCATTAACTGTTCACCATCATCGTATAACGAGGCTGAGACGCTGTCAACTCTCCGTTTTGGTATTCGTGCCAAATCTATCAAGAACACTGCGCGCGTCAATGCTGAGCTCTCCCCGCTGGAACTCAAAGGTCTTCTTGGCAAGGCTCAAGCGGCGAATGTGTCATACCAGAAATACATCGCTGCGCTCGAAGCCGAGCTTGCAATATGGCGTGCAGGTGGCCAGGTGGATCAAGCAGATTGGGCTTCGTCTGATAAACCAGGTGCTGTACCTGCCGCTGCACCAAAGAAAGCGCCGACATCGCCGACCCCATCGTCGACGCGCAGCATGACGCCTGTGATTCCTGCCCTAGAGGGCTTGCGACAGGACTTGGACAGCCGACCACAGACGCCGACTGTTGTCGGCTTGGACAAGGATGAGCGTGAGGAGTTCTTGAAACGAGAGAACGAGCTTAGCGATATGCTGGCTGAGAGAGAATCGGCTCTCGGCGCCGCGCAGAAGTTGGTGGGCGAACTCAAAGAAGAGCTGTCGTTCTTGAAGGAGCAGGAGACATCCCTTTCTAAAGTACGTCATCGTGAAAGTTTCCGTTTAGTGTATGTTCCGTTGATTGGTCTTCGTCTCATTAGGAGAACAAGTCCATGTCTGGTCAACTAAACGAACTTCGTTTGCAAGTAGAGCGCTTAGACTACGACAACAAAGAGAGCGTCATTACTATCGACATCCTTAAGGAACAGAACCAAGACGCGAAGGTCGAACTGGACGAACTGAAGAAGACTATCCTTGAACTGAAGGCTGCCCAGAAGGATGCCTCTGCAGAGGACAAAGAGAAGCGCAAGCAGGAGAAGATGGCACTGATGATGGCCAAGTTCGATGCTGTAGGCCATCTACTTCGTCTACTAGTGGAGTCGAGCTGATCACACGCCTACTTGCAGCAAGGAACGTTCTCTGAGAAGGACGACCAGCTTCGCCAACTACTGGCAAAACTCGATTCAATTGACTCCGATGCTGCGGTCTCCACGTTATCACACGACGATATCACAGCGGCTCGACGACAATTGGCTGATGGGCAGGCACTCATCCGTGAGACGGTGGACCGTCTGAGACAAAGTCAAGAAGAGGGTGAGATGAACGCGCGCAGGCGCGACGAGCTCGAGGCCCGGATTTCAGGTTTAGAGGCCGAGTACGAAGAGCTTCTAGGTATGTTTCCATGGCGGCCATGAATGTGCTCGTTAACATCTGATGCAATTTCTTAGAGAAAACGATTCACGACGAGGAAGTCAGTAATGTTGACGTCGCGGAGTCAATGTCTGAGCTTAAGGTAGGTAGCGGTGTTTCATTTAGACTGTTGTGTGAATCATATCATTGTTTGATTTTTCTAGAACAAGTTGGAGGCCCAGTACGCTGCCAAGCGCGACGCCCATTTGAGCGAAGTGCAAGATCTGAAACAGCAGTTGGAACTCAGAACGAATGAGATCCGGACCCTGAATGCGACCATCGACAGCCTGAAGAGTGTCAACGATGAGCTCAAAGTGAGTGCTACCAGCTGACGTTGAGAGTATGGGACTCAGACATCGTGACAGCGGGCATTTGCCGTCACGTCGGCAGGGATCGAGGGTGGTAAGAACCTCGCGGAAAGCGCCCAGGATCTCGAGCGAACGCGGAAAGCGATCAGCGTGCAGCTCGCCGAGTTTGATGGCGTCAAGAAGTCGCTCATGCGGGATCTTCAGAACCGCTGCGAGAAGGTGGGATTCGTAGATCGTTTTATCACGTGTAATGCAGTTAATGGTGTATGCGGCAGGTGGTCGAACTGGAAATCCAGCTGGACGAAATCAAGGAGCAATATAACAATGTGATCCGCAACAGCAACAGCAAAGCGCAGCAGAAGAAGATGGCTTTCTTGGAGCGCAACCTGGAGCAGCTGACAGTTGTACAGAAGCAGGTTTGTCCTGCGGCTGCAATGTTGATAACTTTCTCATGTGCTCATGGGATTTTTCTCAGCTGGTTGATCAGAATTCAGCGCTGAAGAAGGAGGCGGGCATCGCGGAGCGCAAACTGCTCGCGCGGAACGAGCGGATACAGAATCTGGAGGCACTGCTACAAGACGCTGATCGAAGACTTGCAGTGCAGAACCAAAAGTTCGAAGTTCAGTTGCAAGCTGTCAAGGAGCGGTTGGACCAAGCACGCGGTATGATCGCACTCGTTAGACAATCTCATAATGCCGTACTGATAATCGCTTCATTCGTCACAGCTCAAAAAATGCCTGCACAGTCGTCTCTCAGCTTTGGCCGCATCGCAAAGCCCCTGCGAGGCGGAGGAGGAGCGGCTGCTACTGCTGCGCCGAGCATGAGTCCGTCAATGGCAGGAAGCCCAGCAAATCCTTTGGCGCGGCTGCAGAACGAAGAGTCGAGGTGAGTGCTTCTGTGTCATCTGAGCCGGCCGTGGCGCTGACGGCATCCCTCGATTCGCTCAGCACCGGAGGTATGGAAATTTTTTCATTCACTAGACGTGCTCCGAGGCTTACATTGCAGGGACAGCCAAGCGGGCCTCGTGGTTCTTCAACTCGCGTTGAAGGGATTGAGCGATGTGGTGGAGAGTTTGGAGTCTGTCAGTTGTTGTTTTTCCCCGCATACCCATCGCAATATGGTTGTACATTCTGCATCGCATCTATCGTCGTCTTCCTTAGTAATGGCATGTTTGGAATTCATCGCCGGGCCGTGCGCCTGGCCCTGGGGTGCCATCGGTCGGGTAAATTTTCTGGCGCCGTTGGACGAGCGAGTGTATATACGCGGCGGTGACATGATGTCGCTGGCAGGGAGGACTGGAAGGGGTGGGCAAGCGAGGAGTGTGCTGGAGAGTGCGGCCTGGATATGAAGGAGCCGTCACGGTTCACTCGGCGAGAGGAATGGGCGGACGCGGAGCGCGGGGAGGAGCGATTGGCGCGGGCGTCTGCCAGGTGAAACGCGATCGGGCGCGGCCGAGAAAGGCATGGTGGGAGAGACGCCCGTCGCCAGCGGCGGCATCTTGAGCGGGCCACGTGGCGCGCTGAGGCCGACCCGACGGTGCCTCGGGCCAGGCTGGCGGCGGCAGTGGGCAGACTGGCGGAATCAAATATTGCTAGTCTCGCGCTGCTGATGCTCGCCCTGCCGCGTCCTCCGTAGCTCCCCCTGGCCTCCGCTGCCCCGCCGTAGACTGGCCCTGTTGTGACAGAGTCCCTCCTCCTCCGTCCTCTTTCCTCGGGTCAGCGGCGCAGCAAGGCTCACTTTTATTCCCCCATCAATATTTGGTGAGTTCACCGCGCTTGGCCGCCACGAGTTCTGCTTCGTCGTCCTTAGCGCACCCACTCCGCGACGAGCCGCCTCGTCTCCTTTACCGGCGCGTGTCCGCTGATTTTTCTCTTTTGTCGTCCATATTTTCTCTCCTTTCTCTCTCCACTGACGTCCCACCAGCTATTTTAACACACGCATTCCAAGACGCGTCAAGGGCGCTGTCATAATTGTGAGCACCCGCACAGCGCGTCTGCCCCTTATTCGTCTCAGTGCTCGACTTCCAGACACCCCTTGTAATGTCTGCAAATAATTCTGACATCTCGGCACGGAGAACGTCTGGTTCCTCAACTCGCTCTGGTGCCCCTTCTCCGTCCACTACACCTACTCACGTTCGTCCATCCTCGTCGTGCACCTTTTTGTTTTTCTTGCCCTGATTTCTCTTCGCCTCGTATTTCCAGGCTCATTCTCAGCGAAAACCTGTTTCTGCTGGCAGTATGCTAGGCGTCGGCATGGCTTCCACAAATGGTCTCAGAGCGCTCAACTCGGGCTGGCAGGTAGGCGGCGCCTCTCGAGTCACTCATTAGCCAGCTCATCGATGGGCAGGTGTGGGGAAGTTCCCCCACTTCCACCCGAAATGCCTCAACATCGTCTGCGGCCAGCATGCCAGACTCATCAGCCTCCCAAGCCGAATCGAGTCACCGTTCCAATTTGGGCGACGCTTGGAGTTCGAGGGCCACCGGCACTACCTGGGATGAAATGATGGATAGCCCCCAGAAAGATGTATCTCAGTTGGTGAGTGCTCTTCCTTCTGGCGATGCAATCGGGCGATGAGCTATGCTCATTAGTCCATTGCCTTAAAACAGGATACTTACGCCATGTTATCGTTCTCCCAGGGGAGATCAAGGCATGTCTCTGCAGGCGCTGCGCTCTCTACACCAACGAAGCAGGGCCAATTTTCGCCGCAGCGTTTTAGCGCTGGCCTGGGCAGAGATTCCCCGAACACTTCGCGATACACACCTTCATCCACAACAAAGCCTGCGCTCTATGGCACAACGTCGCCCTATACAGGGCAAAAGTCTCTGTTACAGAATGATGCTGAAGGTACACAGTACGCCTCCCTACAGCCTTCGTCCTTTGTTGAAGACGACTTGTCTATGGCGCTTCGCGGCATGGTAGTAGCGGATGACTACAGCCTCGGACAGCAGCCGCAGGTGTACCGTACCGATGTGGCAGGCAACCTTCACCCGACAACCGCCTCTCAAGCAACACAGTCTACCCTACCTCAAATTCGTGCCCCTCCTCAACCTCAGCAGCCTAGGCCACCTTATAGCGGATACCCTCAGACCGATTATACCGCCTTTTATAACAATAGCTCGGGACGTGTTGATTATGCATACCCTTATGACGCGTTTCGCGCGTCTTCTGATCCGTCACTTTACGCCCCCTCCCCTGCGTTAAGCGCTACTGCAACTCCTAGTGTCTATCCTGGAATGCCCTCACAGCCGCTGCATCCTCATGCTGTTGCGGATATTCATGGGCCGCAGTCGGGAGTATATTATGACTACTCTGGCTCTCCACGCCCTATGGGATCGCAGTACTATTATCCGACACAACCACTAGTGTATCATCCGCCTCCTTCACATTCTCCCATGGATAAGAAGCGTGACCTCCAGGTAAGAGATAGCTGGTCATGCTTGTGAATTGTTATTTATCGATTATACTGTCTAATTCGCAGTACAATATGCAGCATCCTCATCAGCCTAACGTTATGTTCCCCAATGTCCGGGCGACACCTTCTCCACATCCACAAGCATTCCATGGAACCGTCGATTATCAGCATCCTCTTATGGTTCCGGGCGGAACCATCTACGGTCACGCCGGGATGGGCCCTCTGCCGATGCATGCGTACCACCATGGTGGGAGAGGGAACCGCCGCGGCGATGTCCGGACTGATCATCGTGTTGCCATTCGCAGCCCACTTCTCGATGATTTTCGCGCGAATAAGACGCGTAAGTGGGAGCTCAAGGTATGCATGGCGGTTGCAATGACTAGTTTCGACGTGTTAAGTCGGTATCATAGGACATATATGGGTACATCGTTGAGTTCAGCGGTGATCAGCATGGCTCGCGTTTCATACAACAGAAGCTAGAGACCGCTACTGCCGATGAGAGGCAGGTCATATTTGATGAGATTGTACCACATAACGTGTTGCAGCTCATTCAAGATGTGTTTGGGAACTATGTAAGCTTTTGCCTGAATCTGGATGTTGGCAATACGCTGATGACACATCGCAGGTCATCCAGAAGTTGTTTGAGCACGGTACACAGGTGCAAAAAACAATCCTGGCCAACGCGATGGAAAGCCACGTGCTGCCGCTATCGCTCCAAATGTATGGCTGTCGTGTAGTCCAGAAGGTTTGTGCTCAAGCATATATACAGTCGCGGGTGGCTGACAGTATGAATTGCACAGGCGGTCGAGCACGTTCTACCGGAGCAACAGAGTAACTTTGTTAAAGAACTGGATGCCAGCGTCCTCCGATGCGTAAAGGACGCGAACGGCAACCATGTTAGTGTTTTTCGACTGGTGTCTCTGTATTCTCGATACTTATCCCAGGACAGGTGATTCAGAAGCTTATAGAACGCGTGCCGCCAGAACGTCTGATGTTCATCAAGGCATTCAAAGGCAACGTGTACGATCTTGCCACGCACCCGTACGGATGTCGGGTGTTGCAGCGATGCTTTGAACATCTGCCAGATGAATATACTCGTCCTCTCTTGGACGAGCTACACAAGCATGTAACACATCTCATGCAGGATCAGTTCGGCGTAAGTCTTCCAGGCTGTTCGACCCCTTCTTTTGCTGACCTTGTTCCTCAGAACTACGTAGTTCAATTCGTGTTGGAGCATGGCAAGGCGCAAGACCGCGCGGTGGTCATCACAAAACTGCGAGGGCAGATGCTTCACATGGCGCGCCACAAGTTCGCATCGAACGTCGTTGAGAAGGCGTTGATCACAGCTGACTTGGAGAATCGACGTGCCCTCATTGACGAGATTATGGCAGGCAAGCCGGACGGTATTAGTCCGATCTTGACCATGATGAAAGACCAATTTGCCAGTACGTTATATGCTCTTGAAGGTCTCGTTCTGTCTGAATATCTCTTCTGATAGACTACGTCCTGCAACGAGCTCTGTCAGTCGTTGAGGGAGAGCAACGGGAGGCACTCGTCAGTAAAGTCAGGCCCCAATTAGCTAATATGCGCAGATACTCGAGTGCGTATAGTAAACACCTTGTGGCCAGTGAGTATCGATTTTCGTTGCTATTGTGATTGATCTCACCACTGTCCTTGAAGTCGAACGTCTTCTGGAGAAGGCTGCGCCCACACAGGGAGATACAAGCTTCATGGAAGGCACTGCAACTGCCACAAGATCAGACGCGTTGACAACAAAATCATCATAATGACATATTCGTATACCGACCTATTTCTCCTACGCTCGTTTCTACATCATACTATACCGCTATCCACACCGTAAACTGCATGCCATACCCTACACATCGTATTCGTTCGTTCGTATTGGATTCCCCTGCATTTATATCATTGTCATAATCACATTTTACGCTTCGCCAGTGCATATTAAACCCACGGACATGTCCATACACCTCATTCCTTGCTTTAGTCCCGATAGCGATACCATACTTGTGCATCCCTAGTCGTAGCTCGTCGAAAGTAGCTTTGCAAGTCAAGTAGTCTCTGATACATTCTTTAATATATCCGTCCAACATATTGCCTCCATCAATTCGCTGCGAGGATGTGTCAAACTTGTGACCAAGATTGTTCGCGACCGAGAATGAGAGCGCATCCGACACGCAGGAATCGGCAGGATAGGCGCCCGAGGCGCGTTCAGTTTCACACAATCATATGCAGTGAAGCTTCAAATACGTGTTCACCGCCAGCGGCGCCATTTACCGATACTCCGCGTCTCTACCCCTCCCGCCTCATTTCCTTCCTGCCTGAATCTCCTCCCTGGTGCTATCTTCGACATGGATACTGGGGCTGGCGAGGCGGCGTCTCTCTTCGGTGCGGCCGACTCAGCACCCGACCTGTTCTCCACGGCGGCAGGCGTAGATGACCCGTATGCGGCATTCCAGGTTCAAGATGCTGAGGCCACCAATGGACAGCAGTCGGGACCTGTGGCCTCGGATCTGTTTGGCGGCGCCGCAGACGGTACAGACTTTTTCAACGCAGCGGATACAGTGTCTAGTGATTCAGACGTACAGCCGTCCTGGGACGCCGCTGTTCATCAACAGTACACGCAAGCAACTGCCGGGGCGGCACAGGCTGCGACAGCGGGATCATACTATTCGCAGCAGTACCAACAGGATGGGTGGTATGGTCATCAGAGCCAGACGTCGACATATGAGCCGACACAGACGCAGACATCTGCTGGTACAGTGTCTATGTCCGTCTATGCGTGTTAATCTGAATGTCAGTTACTAGCGTACGGGATGTATAATCAGTACTCCACTCAAACTGCCGCCCAGCGCGACCCGTATGCTCCATATGCCTCTAACACTGCACCGGTGCTTCCACCGGCGACACAGGGCACTGCTCCTACCGCTGCTTCGTATGACCCCTACAAACCGACGAGTCAGCCTGTGTCGAACGGCTACGCGACAACGACGACATCGTCCGCATACTCATCCTATGACCCATACAAGCCCACCCAGCCAGCCCCATCTCGACCTGCCGCATCGCACGTATCATATCCAAGTGCCGCAGGTCCGAAGGTGGCTCGTACGACCCCGTCACTCGCGGCCGCTATTGCCCCTCCTGCCCCCCCGGTTAATGTTCCTGTCTCTCCTTATCGTCCGAAGACATCTAACGCCTACGACCCTCCTCTGCCTCCTCCGAAGCAATCGCGGCGCACTTCTGCCCAATACTTGTTTTCTCCACCTGCAGGACAGCAGGATCTTGGAGCACCACCACAGTCTCCTACTCCGCTCCCTCCTCCCCCGCGGAAACCTCCTCCAAAACGCGTCGAGCAACACTCACGGATAGCGTCGCCACCGGTGGCCCACAACCATCCCGTTCACGAGCACCCAGGACCCGTGACATCCCAGAATATGGGTTACGAAGGGCTCCCGTACGCCGGTGGAAGCGGACCGTACACCGAAGTCCCGTCTAGTGCGTACGAATCCAATGGGCATGCTCAACCGTCTCTGCCTTCTTCAGATACGAGCTTTCCTACTCAATGGAACGGAATCAATAGACTGGACGTCAAGTCACCGGGTACTTCTGTATCGCCGCCCTTGTCCGTCACGGGAATCAATCAAATTGCACGTCCGCCGAATTCTCCCAGCGAAGCCTGGATTGAGGCGGAGTCAGCCGCAACTACCTCTCAATTTGCGCAGCCAGGCCAGATGCAGATGGGATATGCTCCAGATGTCTATCCACAGCCTCCATCGACCTTTTCTGCTCCTTATGCCGACGAGGAAGGGCTTGAAGTCAGCCATTATGAGCCTTCCGAAGCAGTAAATGTGCCGGATAGGACGAAATCTCCTTGGGAAGCTGTTAATGGACTTGGTTCTACTATGGCGAACGGTGGCGCCTACGCGCCGAACATTTACTCTCCAGAGCGAACGAAGTCACCTGGAAATGCCTCCATCCGTTCTTGGTCTAGTGCTGGAGGACCCCCTTCGAATCGAGTACAATCGTATGCTGTACCCACATCGCCCCCGCCTCCACATGTTCTCCAACAGCCTCTCCAACAGCCTCATGTGGCGCCTCCAAGCTCCTATGAGCCACGGAGCGATCCAAGGAGAGCTGCTTCTCCTGCGTCTATATCCTCAGTGACCGGATCTTTGAACGGAATTCATGATTCTTATGCATTATCCAACCAGAACAGGAATAGATCTGTGTCCAATACCTCTGCTATGTCTTCGATATCCGCAGTACTAGAAGATCCTTATGCTCCCTCTCATCATATTCGCCAACAACCGAGCGACGGCTCCAGTAAAGGAAGCATATCCGGAGCCTACGACAAAGTTCCATCCGTCACCGCTGCGCTCCCTCCCCGGCAGATGACAGCTCATGACGCATCGGGAGCTCAAGTGTTGACTGTTCCACCAATGGCACAGTCAACATATGCTCCTTCGCCGTCTCTTCTAGGATTAAATGATCCGCTCGGTCGGGCATCGGCGCGAGTACCTGTGGTGAGCTTTGGCTTTGGGGGAAAGTTCGTAACGTGCTTCCATGGCGCCTCTTCACTCAACACGGGTTTCGACGTTGCATTAGCATCCCGTCAATCGACCGATATTAAGGTGTATGTGTTAAACAAAGTGATCCCAGAGTCTGCGCTGGACAGCTCGGCTGCCTCGTATCCTGGGCCCTTGTTCTCTGACCCTGGTACACCTTCGACGAGCCTAGTGCGCACAGGCGCAAGCACACAAACAAAGACGAAGAAAGCTCGTGTGATCAAATACTTAGAAGAGCGAGCTGAGGAGCTTTCAAGGGGCATAGGATATTTCCACACTGACAGCCCGGATGGAAAACGCGCCGAAGCAAAGCAAGTTCTTATCAAGTTGTTGAAGGTCATGGTAGAAAACGACGGCCGTTTGTCTGGGAGGTAAGGCCTGGTAATCTTAGGGAAAATGGATTGCACTCAGACACTACTCTGCAGTCCTCAAGTCGATACAGCGGTCAGGGCAGCTTTGGTACCTCGCACGTCTAGTGGAGCACCCGACACATTAAGAATCGCGTCGTCCTTGGGTGGTTCAGATTTACAGCTGCAATCACCTCACGTACCGACATCGCCGTCCCCCTACATGAGCCTTGCATCTTCATCCCAGGAGCTGAACGATACTCCCGTTACTGTCCATACGGTTCGTTCTTCAAATCTGGACAAGATTCAAGAATTTCTTTTGCGAGGTGATCGACGTGCTGCATGTCATTACGCCTCGGACGAGAAGTTGTGGGCGCATGCAATGGTTATTGCGAGCAGCATTGATAAAGACATTTGGAAGGAAGTTGTGAGTGAATTTGTCAGAACTGAACTAGCGGATAAGAGCAACAAGGGTACTCTGCCCGGTAAAGATAAGGGGCTTTCCAGTGGTACCACCAGGGAGGCCCTTCGTGTCGCATACAGTGTATTTTCTGGGCAAGGTCCCGCATCGGGTAAGCAACAATACATCGTCACATTGAGTGAACGCGATTTTTACAATTGATTTTATAGTGCAAGAATTACTTCCTCCAAAACCACTCGTACATGGCTCTCAGTCGCTCCAATTGCCCTCATCCTCTATATCTTCCATGACTCCTATGTCTGCTGGGTTCTCAGCACCTGTTGAGCCGATGAATTTACCCGTAGAGGTTCTTGCCAAGTGGACGGAAGCCGTAGCTATGATTTACACCAATCCGATGACCTTGGAAACATCTTCTACGCTTACCGCACTTGGAGATCAGTTGGTGGCTAATCAATGGTATGAGGCGGCACACGCCTGGTGAGTAGCCAACAAAAATCAACGCGAAATGATGACTCTAATCTCGCCGGTCCGTATAGCTACCTCCTGTCGCCTCAAACTTCACCTATAGGGACGAGCGGTAGAATTATACTTCTTGGATCGCCCGGACCATCTAGCTGGCGGTCGGTCGCAAATGACCCTGATCCTATCATCTTGACAGAGATCGCTGAGTTCGCGCTATCACTTGCGACACCTGCTAAAGGCCAGGAGGCTTTCACTGGACTGCCTCACCTGCAGCCGTATCGATTGATCCGGGCGGCTGTGTTAGCCGAGATTGGCCACGTACAGCTTGCAAATAGGTAGGCCGAAAGCCATGTGTGTTCGCCCACGCTGACTAGACTGCAGGTATTGCGAGGCTATTTCTACCTGCCTGAACCGGAGCACGTCTTACGTCAGTCCTACATTTGCTGCGCAGTTACGGGGATTATCCGACAGGCTCGTAGCAGCCCCTCAGATTGATAAGTCAGGCTCTTGGATAGGGTCTAAGGTCTCAAAGCCAAGTTTGGATACTATCGGGAATTGGTTAGAAGGACGTCTCACGAAATTCATCGCTGGCGAGGATTCTCCGCTACCTCCGGATGCCTCTCAGAAGGGGCGTCAGCAAGCATTCAGCGGACCTTTCGCTCATTACAGCACAATATCCTCCGCGTCGACTTCTGCCGCACCATCTCCTCAGCAGTCTAGGATTGATCTTACTGATATTCCCACTTCGCCTCCACCACCGTTCAGGACTGGCTCAGCCATGGCTCTGCGATCGTCTGCAGCTCCTCAAGTGCAAATCAATCGTTCGTCATCTGCGATGGACTATGTTCGACCTGCATTCAATCGCAAATCGTCGCCTATTCCCCGCGTGTCATCAGCTAGTGCGGCGACGAGCACTTTCGCCGAAGCATCTTTATACAGCCAAGCTCTCAACGGACATGCCTTTGGTAACAACTCAAAGCAAAGCCTGAGTGATTTGAGAATGAATGATGTGGCTGAGGAGCCATATCAAGAACGGATGAGCGGGTCGACGGGCGGAACATGGTGGGGATCACCAGAATCTAACGCACCCACACCGACAGCTTCCTCATTTGCACATATGAATGAAGATGCAACCACAGAATCTCCGTCTGGATTTATTTCACTCATGGATGACACTTCTTTTTCGTCAACCCCTACGGCGGCGCAGGCACCAACGTCGTATAGCAACCGTTTGGATGAATACGATGAAGAGGATGATCTTGGATTGGGCAACAGTACACATCGCGTGGAACGGCAGGCCAGTGCTGGCGCGCAGAAGGCAGATACCACACCCGCACAGGAGATATCGCGAAACGAAGTAAAACCTGCTGAACTCGCGCAGAAGCAAGGTGAGATTCACATCGGCTTTCTCAAACGTAAGCTGACGGATAGACTTAGAATCAAAATCTGCGGCTTCTGCGGCTTCTGCGTCTTCTGGCTCATGGTTGAGTCGTATTTGGAAGCGAGAATCTACGCCTGGCCCTGTCAAAGCCAATCTCGGTGATTCGACGACATTCTATTACGACAAGGAGTTGAAACGTTGGGTCAACAAGAATGTGCGCCTTGTTCCTCTACCAACATTTCCTTGAAGTCTAATTATTTTACAGGCTTCTTCTGAGGCTGCCAACCCTGCGCAACCGCCTCCACCTCCCAGAGCCCAGACCGCATCTCCGGGTAGATCATTTGGCACTCTCCCAAACGGTACAACGCCGCCGCCACCGCCTCCGATACGCCCTGCAACAGCTAACGCCAACGCGTTTGACAACCCTACTGGGCCTCCAAAAGCACCTATGCGCGTGCGCTCAAATTTGGTGCCTGCCCAGACGGATGATAGTAGCTCCGCGCCTCCTACGCCGTTGAACTCAACGATGGCTCCCCCGCCTGGATCGGGACCCCCGCCTCCAGGTGGTCGATCTACAGCACGAGCAAAGCGACCTGTACGGAACCGCTACGTGGACGTATTCCAGCAACCGGCCGAGGGTAACTAATTAGATCTCGATGTCGACTAGCATTAGATGTCCCCTTCGCATGCACTGCTATTCTCCTCATGTCATATTCGAGACCGTTTGAGTTATTCTGAATCTGGTTGCTCATAGAATCACACTAAGCTGAATAATTTGGATTTTACTTTCACGCGTTACGATGTCGATCTCTTTTGAATTGTCGCAGCAATTCCACGTGCTACTCTGCATATTGCCACAGCTGTCTTGCAGCCTACAACAGTAACTTGAAGGGATAGTCTGTGAAAGTATGTCTGAATGAAGCGAACAACATACGATTGAGTAATATACTTACTTCTGTTCTTCTCCCTGAATAGAGAAACAAGGACAGAGTACATTACGAAGATAACACCACACCACAGATAGACCTGCATTCGTTGTCTCTGAGGATTCTTTTGATTGGGCACAATCAAAGTGAGCATGAGGAAACCGGCCGAAAGCGTTCCATCTGCGGCAGAGTGAGCCAGGAATGGACCTGAGGTGGGAGTACGTACAAATCATAAACACAACTTGTACTTCCTGACCAAATTGAGACTGGAAACCTTGCGCGACCCACTGCCCGCCTGGGCCACTGTGAGGCATGCCACGGATGCGAACGAACATGAAGCCCGAAGTCATGACAAGCGACGTGATCACTGTAATCGCGGCCCAAGTCCAACGAGATTGAAGAACGGGGTAGATGAAACGGAGAGTCACAGCGGAGGCCAGGACAATGAGCAGGTATGAACCGATGCGTGCAAAGTCGATGGGGGCCTTGTATGGGATCGGTACGGGCGTATATGCCGAGAGTTGTTCGGCAAGAGGTGCAGCATCAAATCCCCTGTGAAGATGTATGTCGGCAAGAAAAGAGATGTAACGAATGAACTGACTGGCTAAAGTCCAAAAGTGTAGGGGAGATTCGTCCACTGGCAGGTCGACGAGAGCCATCTGCTGCGGGGTAAACTTGGACAATGGGTGCAGATTGAATACCGAGCTGCGCACAGAAGCTGAGATGACAAACAGAGCCATGGAAACCTACTACGCACCTGTTGGAACACTGGCATGGCCTCATCGAAGTCTATGGTCGCGAAAAAGTGGCTGTCCCGCTCCGAGGCAGGAACGGTGGACCATGCCTTGGCGACAGCACTGAATGAGGGGTCGAAATCCCTGGTGGGCGGTATAGGCGAGATGTTGGTACAGATGAATGTTCCAACTCACTTGCATGGAGAGCATCTGCGCTTCTTGTCCAGCGCGGTAAACTGAATGGAAGCAGACCAGGTTCGCTTGGGACTGGTGATGATGTTGTAGATGTTCTCATCGAGGCGAACGACGCCGTTGTTGGCAGCAGCAAGCTTCACGAGCTTTGTGTGCTCTGCATCTGCGGAAGCAGCAAAACAGAAGGGGAGGAAGAAAAGAGCGAAGAGAGGCAGCAACATGGCCGCAGGATGGACGAGGGAGGGTTTCGGAAGCGCCCGAGACGACGCGACGTGTCGCTGTTCGCTGTGAGTGGACCCACCGCGTCCCACAAACGCGGCTCAGCCACCGCTCCTCAGAATCGTTGGGACGAGTCCCTTCGATGCGCTCTGAATCATGTCCCATGCCCTCCTCCTCCGCCTCTTCCTCTCGCCATCCTTCTTCACCGTCCATGTCGCCCTGCAGTACCTCATGATCTACGCCGACAGTGTCGGCATCACGTACTACCTCACCCGTAGACTCCGGGAGCTGGATACACAGGAGTTGCGCGAAGTGTGGGGATTCATTTGGTGAGCACAGGCCGCTCTTTTCTGTGCAATTCCTGACCACGGGCTCCTGTAGCCACCTTCTCGTAACCCGACCCTCCAAGTCCAGAGCGCTCGAGTGCTTCGTCATCGAGATTGCGCACAAGTCTACTCATATTGCTATGCTGGTGCGTTCCCACCTGGGTATGTTATCACAGGTACTCCATTATATTTAGACGCTATGGTACATGCAAGCATATCTGAGGGATCTTGCTCCCCCTCATAACAGTCCGCAATCCTTCCTCATATGTCAGCGGGTCCTCCATCAATGTCATGAGCTCATCTTCGGAGACGTTCCTCCTCAGTCGTCTGCTCCATACTCGTCCATCCACCTCCCAACCCAATTTGGTCCCGTGCGGAGGAAAGTAAGACCGCATGTGCAACCCGCACTGGTCGGCATAGGCATGGTCTGGGCTGGTGTGCCTGGCTTACCCGATCTGACGGAAATTATGGGTGAGGTCTCCATTGAACAGGGCCGTGTGGATGAACGAGGCCAAAGCGTCAAGAGTCTGCAGCGCGTAGATGATGATATCGTCCAAGGTGTACAAGTGGAACTTCCTTCCGAGCACCCGGAGGAGCAAGATGACATGGATAATTCTGACGATGAAGGGGGAGAGGAGACAGCAGTACATCCTGACAAACTGCTCTCTGAGCCTGTGTATCTCTCCAAGGAGGTAGCGCGTTCATCCCGACGGCAGACGATCGCAGCCCAGACCAGTCCTGCCTTACCCATTCATTTGAGAGGAGTTCGCAGATATCGATTGTCAGAAGATCCCTTTGGACAACAAGACGAACCACCACCTACTTCTGCAACCACCCCGTTCCAGTCCACGCCCACATTCTCTGTGTTCAAGCATCCCGGTAAAAACCTGAGTATTCAAGCAGCGGATCTTATACAAAAATATGATCTGCCGTCACAAATTCATCTTCTTCGCAGCCATTTTTGCCGTTCAGAGGTCCGTCGAACATTCCCTGATGTCATACGCTGTCTCACATATGGATCCTTTGACAGATCAAGTTCCTGCTCACGTTGGAGAACATTTGCAACAAACTTTTAGTAGTACCAAGACCTGCCCGTGTCAGTGCTTTAAGAGCTGAGCTGACAGGGCTTAATCATATGCTTCCTGCAGAGGTCAGTCTCGGGTTCTTGTTGATGTTCATCCGCGTGGTGCTCATGGGTACTACAGGTGTGCATGCCGATGTGGTGTAGCTCGTCGGATGTGCCGAACCTCTCAGAGGGTATCCCACAGCCGCATCACCGAATCGTACGTATTCCACCAGGTGAGAGCGTAGTCCTCAACTCTGCAGAGCGAGCGCCATACCTGCTACTCATCGAGGTCCTCCACGGCGACCTGGATTTCGACCCGGCAAAGCGCAATAACAAGGAAATTTTGAAGAAGATTGTACTGAAAGAGGTTGAGCGAGAAGGCTCAGCCAAAGATTTTGTGGCGTTCACAGGTAAAGCGCGTCTGTCACGACAATCGACAAGCATGTCAGAACACGCGCCTGCTGCTGAAGCGTCCATCGGCAATGATACTGATGATATTGTGACTACTCCTGCGCCTACTATCTCTTCCACGTTTCCACAGAGCCCTATATCTCCAGCTATAGATGATGATGAAGAGATTGACCTCGTTGAGCAACTATATGGAGCTGACAACTCTCTTCTCGCGCGCGAGGTCGATTTATCAGAAACCATTGTTCTCCCGCCACCTCCCAAGAACAGGGAGCTCGACATGGCGACCTGGTCCCGGGCATCTTCGATTCCCCAGACGCCTATGATTCCAAATGGCTCGATCAGTCGCCACGTACCCTCGGACAGTCTTTCTAGCGTAGATCGTCGTTCCTTCCCTTTACCACGGCTTGATTTTGATCAGAACGATCCTAACGAGTACGATGACAGTGCGCTTACTCCACGCCCGCTCTCGCTCGATGAGTACTCGGAGAGGATGCGGACAGCGGCGGTCATGCTTGCTCAGCTCAACGCTAATGTAGCACCACCATCGATCATGCCTCCCGGTACCCCTTCCCTTGAGGCAGCCACTTTCACAAGTCCATTTCGCTGGCTGGTCAACACACCAATCCTTACTGTCACACCGACTATGAATGACAGCTCTGCAATACCCCCTGCTACTCCTACTCCTATGCGGATGAAGCTACAACCTATAGAGGCGGCTACCATTCGGGAGCGGATAATGGGTGAGATGTTGGCGCTTGAGGAAGAGCGCGTGGCGCGCATGAGAGAAGGCGGCATGGGCGAGGGTATGTTGAAGATGGGACATGATGGAAGTATGAAGAGCGTTGAGGACGAGCGCATTATTCGACGCGAGCTGAGCAAGGCTGATCCGTCCGCAGTCGTGTTCAGTGAATCATGGGCAGCCAAGAAGGTCAGTCTTGTATGTGAATAAAATCCGTCTCGTCCTAATGTGTGTCTCAGAGTAGGATACGACAGTCGTCGCCTTATGGACATTTGGGTATGTCCAGGCATGATTTGATCTTGAAAGATAGTTAATCCGAATTCTTGTGAAGCAAATTGGGATTGTGTATCTGTCATCGTCAAGACGGGAGGAGATTTGCGCCAAGAGCAGTTGGCCGTCCAACTCATTCAGGAGTTCGAGAAGATCTGGAAAGAGGAAAATTGTCCGTGCTGGGTACGGTAGTAAGTCATTCCAGAAATTAAGAGTGCCATATTGGCTTACTCTAGTTCTCAGCTTTCGTATCTTGATCACTGGTAGCACTTCGGGGCTTGTAGAGACAATCACAGATGCTGTCTCGATACATTCTATCAAGAAGGCGGAGTACGCCCGGCGACTTGCGGCTGGTCGATTGGGACAAGTCACATTGTTTGACCATTTCAAAGCAGTAAATCTATGTTGACTGCTTGTGTCGTGGATTCTGATTCGATTACAGACATACGGTGACCCCTCTTCGGCAAAATTTGCTCGTGCGCAGAGAAATTTCGCCAAGTCCTTAGCCGGTATGTCCGCGACCGTGACGCGTGCTCGCTTTGCTCATCTACAAGTAGGCTACTCTCTTGTGACACACTTCCTGCAGATCAAGGATCGCCATAATGGCAACATCCTACTGGACAGAGATGGCCATCTGATACACATTGACTTTGGTTTCATGCTCTCGAACTCGCCTGGTAACATCGGATTTGAAGCAGCACCCTTTAAACTACCCCTTGAATATATTGAGGTATTAGGGGGTATCGACAGCAAGCCCTTTGCTGAGTTCAAACGACTATTCAAAGAAGGATTCGAGGCCGCAAGAAAACACTGTGATCGGATCGTCAGTGAGTGGACTTCGTCGACCTGATGGTTCCCCTACTCAAACTCGAATTCGCAGCGCTGGTTGAGCTAATGCAGAAAGGTGCGTCGTGTTGATCACTTCTTTGGTATAGTGGCTCACTGAAGGGCAGATTCGTCATTGCCGTGTTTTGGCGCTCTTGGAGAGCAAGCTGTTGCTCAATTACGGGAGCGTTTCCAGCAGGGCCTCACGCAGGCATCTGTTGAGGAGCATGTCAATCGACTTATAGAGTCCTCTCTGGGTTCAAACTGGACCAGACTATATGATTCGGTGAGCCGTTACATTCCACTGCGATTGTGCTATCTCAACATGTTCATCATCCGATAGTACCAGTATTACTCTCAATCTATCTTTTGATGTTATACGCATGTTGCCTTCACGAAGCAAATTGCGACGACATTAAACATGAAGCAAAGCATGATATTAAGTGTGCGACAGCAAAATAATATATAGAAAGATCCGAAGTCCGATGATATAGTACAACTCAGAACAGTCTTTCATATCGTTTGAGGCAACTGTACCCTTCATAATCTGCACGGGGGGAAACAATTAAGGAAAAGATTATAAAGTCAACTTGGTAGCTACTGACCGAAATTTTCGCTGGGGTTGCACCAGCATTTTCCTTGCACGTGCTGATCGCCTTGTGGGCAGTGTTGGAAGGGATTATGCTTGTATCCTGGGATACTTCCTTAAGTATACAACATCTGATGCGACAGAGCGGCAACTTTACCGATTTCTTTGAAGAAATGAATTTGTTCCTTCTTGGCAAACAGAGCTGCACCTATGCTGTGCACAGGAGCATCTCCCCAGCGCTGAATGGACTTATCAGGTACGCAGAATTCGCCGAACTAGAGTAGGCAGACCTCGTAATAGAAACCTCCTTTCTGGTCCAGGAAGTCGAAGAACTTCGTGTATGCCTCTCCTCTCCAGAAATCAAGATCACCGATCTCAAAGTTACTCCAGACTGAGGGGCGAGTTCGCATGAACGCAACATCGCATTAGGGAACCATGCGACGTACAGTGACACCTGTTGTAACTCTCGCCCCTGTCATCGGAGAGGAATTGCATAGCGTTTCCGGAAGGAACAAGACCAGGATTTTCGTGGATGAACTCTGATCAACCTGATTTAACATAAGTGGCACACCACGCCGTTCGCGATACACACCTTTGACGGCACTCCACAACGTTGGGATTGTTGCTTCGTATTCATATAGAGAAATAGTGAATCCTATAATAGAAAATTAGATGCGTATTATGTCACAAGGGTATTGTAACAATCTCACCATATACCTTCTTTCCTTCCTGCATCGTTAAAAACGGCTGTCCAAGATGGCTATCCTCAGCTCAATGGAAGGAGTGAAAACAAAGTAATTTACGTCGGAGTTCAAGTCACAGTAGAAGATGACATCAGGTCTATTTGTGTTCAAGCGGCTTAGCATGAGAATTATCGCAACACCAACGAGAACATACTCGATCCTCCAGTAGTATTTGTATTTTGCCAGTAACTCATGCCTAAAGAAAAACTATGAAGAATTCAGAATCAGAGACATGGCAAAAGACCTCTACACATACGCCTGAGTTGAAACGACACATATTCCGGTATCTGTAGATGGAATCAGACTCGAAATATGTATTTCTAAGATCAAAAGCACGTACGAGACACTCCCTGTTACGCCTGTCAGTTTTACCTCGAGGGAAGACTATATTCATGACACTCA